CCGAATTTATTGAGAGTTTTTAGCATGAAGGGCTGTTGAATTTTGTCAAAGGCCTTTTCTTCGTCTATTGAGATAATCATGTGGTTCTTGTCTTTGGTTCTGTTTATGTGTTGGATTACGTTTATTGATTTGCATATGTTGAACCAGCCTTGCATCCCAGGGATGAAGCCCACTTGATCATGGTGGATAAACTTTTTGATGTGCTGCTGGATTCAGTTTGCCAGTATTTTATTGAGGATTTTTGCATCGATGTTCATCAGGGATATTGGTCTAAAATTCTCTTTTTTTGTTGTATCTCTGCCAGGCTTTGGTATCAGGATGATGTTGGCCTCGTAAAATTAGTTAGGGAGGATTCCCTCTTTTTCTATTGATTGGAATAGTTTCAGAAGGAATGGTACCAACTCCTCCTTGTACCTCTGGTAGAATTCAGCTGTGTATCTGTCTGGTCCTGGAGTTTTTTTTTGGTTGGTAGGCTATTAATTATTGCCTCAATTTCAGAGCCTGCTATTGGTCTATTCAGGGATTCAACTTCTTCCTGGTTTAGTCTTGGGAGAGTGTAAGTGTCCAGGAAATTATCCATTTCTTCTAGGTTTTCTAGTTTATTTGCATAGAGGTGTTTATAGTATTCTCTGATGGTAGTTTGTATTTCTGTGGGGTTGTTGGTGATATCCCCTTTTATCATTTTTTATTGCATCTATTTGATTCTTCTCTTTTCTTCTTTATTAGTCTTGCTAATGGTCTATCAATTTTGCTGATCTTTTCAAAAAACCAGCTGCTGGATTCATTGATTTTTTGGAGGGTTTTTTGTGTCTCTGTCTCCTTCAATTCTGCTCTGATCTTAGTTATTTGTTGCCTTCTGCTAGCCTTTGAATGTGTTTGCTCTTTCTTCTCTAGTTTTTTTAATTGTGATGCTAGGGTGTCAATTTTAGATCTTTCCTGCTTTCTCTTGTGGGCATTTAGTGCTATAAATTTCCCTCTACACACTGCTTTAAATGTGTACCAGAGATTCTGGTATGTTGTATCTTTGTTCTCATTGGTTTCAAAGAACATCTTTATTTCTGCCTTCATTTCATTATGTACCCAGTAGTCATTCAGGAGCAGGTTGTTCAGTTTCCATGTAGTTGAGCGGTTTTGATTGAGTTTCTTAGTCCTGAGTTCTAGTTTGATTGCACTATGGTCTGAGAGACATTTTGTTATAATTTGTGTTTATTTACATTTGCTGAGGAGTGCTTCACTTCCAACTATGTGGTCAATTTTGGAATAAGTGTGATGTGGTACTGAGAAGAATATATATTCTGTTGATTTGGGGTGGAGAGTTCTGTAGATGTCTATTAGGTCTGCTTGGTGGAGAGTTGAGTTCAATTCCTGGATATCCTTGTTAACCTTCTGTCTCGTTGATCGTCTAATGTTGACAGTGGGGTGTTAAAGTCTCCCATTATTATTGTATGGGAGTCTAAGTCTCTTTGTAAGTCTCTAAGGACTTGCTTTATGAATCTGGGTGCTCCTGTATTGGGTGCATATATATTTAGGATAGTTAGCTCTTCCTGATGAATTGATCCCTTTACCATTATATGATGGCCTTTGTTGTCTGTTTTGATCTTTGATGGTTTAAAGTCTGTTTTATTAGACACTACTATTGCAACCCTTGCTTTTTTTGTTTTCCATTTGCTTGGTAGATCTTCCTCCATCCTTTTATTTTGAGCCTATGTGTGCCTCTGCATGTGAGATGGGTCTCCTGAATATAGCAAACTGATGGGTCTTGACTTTATCCATTTTGCCAGTCTGTTTTTTAACTGGACCATTTAGTCCATTTACATTTAAGGTTAATATTGTTATGTGTGAACTTGATCCTGTCATTATGATATTAGCTGGTTATTTTGCTTGTTAGTTGATGCAGTTTCTTCCTAGCATCGATGGACTTTACACTTTGGCAGGTACCAATGACTGGTACCTGTTGTTCCTTTCCATGTTTATTGCTTCCTTCAGGACCTCTTGTAGGGCAGGCCTCTCTAAGCGTTTGCTTGTCTTATTTCTCCTTCACTTATGAAACTTAGTTTGGCTGGATATGAAATTCTGGGTTGAAAATTCTTTTCTTTAAGAATGTTGAATATCGGCCCCCACTCTTTTCTGGCTTGTAGAGTTTCTGCCGAGAGATGTGCTGTTAGTCTAATGAGCTTCCCTTTGTGGGTACTTCGACCTTTCTCTCTGGCTGCCCTTAAGATTTTTTTCCTTCATTTCAACTTTGGTGAATCTGACAATTATGTGTCTTGGAGTTGCTCTTCTTGAGGAGTATCTTTTTGGCGTTCTCTGTATTTCCTGAATTTGAATGTTAGCCTGCCTTACTAGGTTGGGGACGTTCTCATGGACGATATCCTGCAGAGTGTTTTCCAACTTGTTTCCATTTTCCCTGTCACTTTCAGGCACACCAATCAGATGTAGATTTGGTCTTTTCACATAATCCCATATTTCTTGGAGGCTTTGTTCATTTCTTTTTACTCTTTTTTCTCTTGACTTCTTGCTTCATTTCATTCATTTGATCTTCAATCGCTGATACTCTTTCTTCTAGTTGATCGAGTCGGTTACTGAAGCTTGTGCATTTGTCACATAGTTCTCATGTTATGATTTTCATCTCTGTCAGCTCTTTTAAGGACTTTTCTACATTGGTTATTTTAGTTAGCCATTCGTGAAATCTTTTTTCAAGGTTTTTAGTTTCTTTGCGCTGGTTATGTAGTTCCTCCTTTAGCTCTGAGAAGTTTGATCGACTGAAGCCTTCTTCTCTCAACTCGTCAAAGTCATTCTTCGTGCGGCTTTGTTCCGTTGCTGGCAATGAGCTGCGTTCCTTTGGAGGGGGAGATGTGCTCTGATTTTTTGAATTTCCAGCTTTTCTGCACTGCTTTTTCCCCATCTTTATGGTTTTCTCTGCCTTTGGTCTTTGATGATGGTGATGTACTGATGGGGTTTTGGTATTGGTGTCCTTTCTGTTTGTTAGTTTTCCTTCTAACAGTCAGGACTCTCAGCTGCAGGTCTGCTGGAGTTTGCTTGAGGTCCACTCCCGACCCTGTGTGCCTGGGTTTCAGCAGCGGAGGCTGCAGAAGATAGAATATTGCTGAACAACGAGTGTTGCTGTCTGATTATTGCTCTGGAAGTTTCGTCTCAGGGGTGTACCCAGCCGTGTGATGTGTGAGGTGTCGGTCTGCACCTAGTGAGGGATGTCACCCAGTTAGGCTACTCAGGGGTCAGGGACCCACTTGAGCAGGCAGTCTGTCCATTCTCAGATCTCAACCTCTGTGCTGGGAGAACCACTGCTCTCTTCAAAGCTGTCAGACAGGGACATTTACCTCTGCCGAGGTTTCTGCTGCTTTTTGTTTAGCTATGCCCTGTCCCCAGAGGTGGAGTCTACAGAGGCAGGCAGGCCTCCTTGAGCTGTGGTGGGCTCCACCGAATTCAAGCTTCCCGGTGGCTTTGTTTACCTACTTAAGCCTCAGCAATGGCGGGCGCCCCTCCCCCAGCTTCGCTGCCACCTTGCAGTTAGATCTCAGACTGCTGTGGTAGCAATGAGGGAGGCTCCGTGGGCTTGGGACCCTCTGGGCCAGGTGTGGGATATAATCTCCTAGTATGCCGTTTGCTAAGACCCTTGGTAAAGCGCAGTATTAGGTGAGCGTTACCCGATTTTCCAGGTGTTGTGTGTCTCAATTTCCTTTGGCTAGGAAAAGGAATTTCCTTCCCTCTTGCGCTTCCCAGGTGAGGCGATGCCTTGCCCTGCTTCAGCTCTTGCTGGTTGGGCTGCACTCCAACCAGCGGATCAGCACCAACTGTCCGACCCGCCCCAATGAGATAAACCTGGTACTTCAGTTGAAAATGCAGAAATCACCCATCTTCTGTGTCGCTCATGCTGGGAGCTGGAGGCTGGAGCTGTTTCTATTCGCCCATCTTGCGTGCGCCTCCTTGGTTTTTTTTTCTTAAACTTCATGAAGCAACCTCTGCTACCTTCCTACTTTTCTTCTGCAGTTTCCTCACCCCTCTCAGCCGTCACAGATTTGAAGACAGTTAGGGCCTTGCTCTGGTTTAGGGTTTGACTTCAGGGAATATTGTGGCTGGTTTGATCTTCTATCTAGACCACTCAAACTTTTGTCACATCATCAATAAGGCTGTTTTGCTCTCATCATTTATGTATTTACTGCAGTAGCACTTTTAATTTCATTCAGAAACCTTTTCTTTGCATCCAGAACTTAATTGACTGGTGCAGGAGGCCTGGCTTTTAGTCTATCTTGGCATTTGATATACCTTCCTCACTTAGTTTAATCATTTGTAGCTTTTGATTTAGAGTGAGAGATATGAAACTCTTCAATATATGAAACTCCTCCTTTCACTTGAATGCCTAGAGGCCATTGTAGGATTATTAATTGGCCTATTTTCCATACAGTTGTATCTCAGGGAATAGAGAGGCCTAAGGAGAGGGAGAGAGACAGGAATGGCTATTGCTGGAGCAGTCAGAAAACACACAGCATTTATTGCTTATGTTTGTCATCTTATATGGGCACGGTTCATGGCGGCCCCAAACGATTACAATTGTAATGTCGAAGATCACCGATCACAGATCATCATAACTGATATAATAATAATGAAAAAGTTTGAAATATTGCAAGAATTAGCAAAATGTGTCATAGAGACACAAAGTGAGCACACGCTGTTGGAAAAATGGTGCTGACAGACCTACCAGATTCACAGTTGCTGTAAATCCTTATTTTGTAAAGAAAAAAACCCCACAATATCTGCAAAGTACAATAATGCAGAGTGCACTAAAACGAAGTATGTTTGTATAAAAAAAGATTGTGATTAATAATTCAGTTGTAGGGAGTGGAATATCAAAAGATTTCGACTGCTACTGCATTTCATTCTGATTTTAAGAGTTGTTACTTTAGCCTCATTACAAATTATAGGTGCTATGTAAATGTTCTGTTGTGTATCTTTAATAATTCCTTTCTCTGCTTCTTTTCTAGGTATCACACCTGTGTATCATAATATGTTTGCTTTAATGAGTGAAACAGAAAGGATCTGGTATCCACCCAACCATGTCTTCCATATAGATGAGTCAACCAGGCATAATGTACTCTACAGAATAAGGTACTTTCTTCAGTAAAGTAACTTACTTAGTGCTGAAAGGCAAAATGGGAGAAATTATCAAATACTTTTAAATTGCAAGGTAGTTAATACCAGAGACCTGAACGAATTAGTTAGCACTCATTTTAAGATTTCATTTAAGATTCTGTTTCTCCATCAGAGAAACTGTTCATACATGTTGTTTAAGTAGAATAGTCTGAGAATAAAGCTGTTTTGGTGGGATGCCACTTAACTCCTTATGATTATAATTAAATAAGTAAAAAAAAAATCAGAATGGGCTTTATTAACAAAATCCTAAATGTTTGGGATATTGCTGGTTTGTGCAATGTTTTGTGCAATAAAATTCAATTTCACATCTTATCTTTATAAAGAACTTTTAAAAAAGTTGTTGTGAAGAAAAGAGACTTTTCCCAGTGTGTATTTGCAGCTTCAAATTGTAAGTTAATTTATATAATTTATGGTAATGTGTAATGCCTATTTAGAGAAATCTAATAGTATTTTTTTACTTGAAAGGATGAAACAGATATGTTTGATTTGTGTCTCATAAATACCTGTGATTTTTCTAAGCATTTATATATATATATATACACACACATACACACACACACACACACACACATAAAATTCATCATAACTTAAGGAGGTATTAAGATTTCCACATTAAAGATAAAGAATTTAGAGCACTGAGAAACAATATTACTCAAATTTATTCATGGTCACACAGCTAGGAATTGGGAGTCAGGTTCAAATCCAAGCCTAGTTTGCTTCATAAGCTTGCCTCTTAACCACCTCATGTGTACTTCATTAAAGAGATAATGTATATATAGTATTTATTATTGTGCCTATCACTTCGTGCTCTCTCAGTAAATTTTAGTATTGTTTTGCTTCTTTCCCTTCCTCTATTCTATATACAAATATGCAATTGGATGTGTTTGCATTTACTGATATCTAATGTATAATTTGCACTGAGTTCAAAAAATTATTTTTGAAATAATTATTGAAAAGACGGTGAAAAAATCAATAAATGTTCAAATAAATAATAGATGTACAAAAATCAATAGCATTATTATATGCAAGCAACCACTTATATAATAGATAAAGAAGATCCTATTGAATATAGTTACAAGAACCCTTAACTAACCAGGAATGGTTTTAATAAGAGAAAACACAAGACAGTATAGGAAAATTAGAAACTTATTTGAAGAATATGAAGAATTAGGACATAATACTGGAATGGGCAGATGGAATATGACAAAGATCAATTTCTCTTACACTATGTGCTTAGCTCTAAGCCAATTAAAATCCTAAAAAAGGCATTTTAGGGAATTGGACACATTACTATGTTAATTTAGAATTATTAAGATAGCCATGAGAAAGAAGACTTATCTGGGAATTGTAAAATATTTTGTCCCAGGAGATATTTTCACATTATATGAAACTACAAAATGGTATCTATTATTTTATTTTTTTTATTTTTTATTTTTTTGAGACGGAGTCTCGCTCTGCCGCCCAGGCTGGAGTGCAATGGCCGGATCTCAGCTCACTGCAAGCTCCGCCTCCCGGGTTCACGCCATTCTCCTGCCTCAGCCTCCCGAGTAGTTGGGACTACAGGCGCCCGCCACCGCGCCCGGCTAGTTTTTTGTATTTTTTAGTAGAGACGGGGTTTCACCGTGTTAGCCAGGATGGTCTCGATCTCCTGACCTCGTGATCCGCCCGTCTCGGCCTCCCAAAGTGCTGGGATTACAGGCTTGAGCCACCATGCCCGGCCTGGTATCTATTATTAAAGCCACATAATTAAATTCAGAATCATAACCTAAATAATGAGAATGTTGGGGCCAGTATATCTTGAAAGTACTCCTTCATACATATAGAAACATAATATATGAAGAAATCTTTTCACGTTAATGTGAAAGGGAGAGATTAGTCAATAAATGGGGATGGGATAGTTGATTAGCTGTTTGAAAAATTTTAGCTTCTTTCTTTATAATGTATATCAGATAAATTATAGATTGATTAAAGATCAGATTGATATGTAAATAGAAATGTAAAGAAAATCAAACTATAAAAGTCTGAATTGGAACTGAATTCAGGTCCTTGGGAAAATACCATTTAAGCTTCAAAACAACAGAAGAAATCTTATGGGAATGATTGCAATTGTCGACTATAAAAATTTTCAGATGTCTGAAGGTTTCCTCTTATAATGAAAAGGCAAACTGTAAAGATTGTTTCAACAAATCAGATAAAAGGTTAGTATTCTTATAAGTATAAAATTAAAAACACAGTATCCATTAAACAATTACTTAATGTACATGAAGAAATAGTGTCACTAGTTATGAGAATAATGCACATAGTTACAACTATTTGTTGGTCTCATAACTAGTGATGCTGAGAATTTTTTGAAAACGCCATTAATGATTTGTTCTTCTTTTGTTAAATATTTCTTCATGTACGTTAAGTAATTGTTTAATGGATAGTGTTTTTAATGCCAACAAATTAGAGGATCAAGATGAAATGGACAAATTCCTAGAAAGACACAAGTTATGGGAACTGCTAAAAGAAAGAACAGAAAGTTTGAATAGGTCTATGACAAGTAAAGATATCAAATTAGTAATTTTTATAAAAGCCCAGGCCCAAGTGGCTTCACTTGTGAATTCTGTCACACATTAAAAGAATTATTACCAGTTATTCACAAAAAATAGCAAAGGAAGGAGGATTTCCCAACTATTTCTGTGAGTTCAGTATTACCCTGATAACAAATTCAGACGAAGATGTCTAGAAGAAAAGAAAACTACAGACCAATGTTGTAGGTAGAAAATCAACAAAATACTCGCAAATTGAATCCAGCAATACAGCTTGAATATGTCTTATCTGAAATGCTTGCGACCAGAAATGTTTTGGATTTTGGATTTTTTTTCATATTTTCAGAATATTTGCAGAGTATACACTGGTTGAACATACCTAATTTAAAAATCTAAAGTCTGAAATGCTCTAATGAATATTTCTTTTGCACATCAGGTTAGTGCTCTAAAGGTTTTGGATTTTGGAGCATTTCAGGTTTCAGATTTTCAGATTAGGAATGCTCAGTGTGTTTACAGAAATATTAAATACCATGACCAGGTGGGATTTATCCCAGGAAATACAAGGTTAGTGCAACTTCCAAAAATCAATCAGTGTAATATACCACATTAATAGAATAAATGACCAGAACCACATGATCATCCCAATAGACACAGATAAAGTATTTGATAAAATCCAGCATCCCATCATTATAAAAAATCTCAACACAATAGGAATGGCAAGGAACTTCCTCAATTTGTTCAAGGGCATCTATAAAAAAATCCAAAAGTAATGTCGTACTTAATGGTGAAAGACTGAATGCCTTCTCTCTATGATCAGGAATGAGATGAGGATAGCTACTCTTACCACTTTGATTTAACACTATACTGTAGATTCAGGGTAGGGAAATAAGAAAAAGAAATAAAAGGGATTTATATTGGAAAATAAGAAGTAAAACTGTAGTCATCCCGCTGTATCCATGGGTTTCACATCCATGGATTAAACCAACTGCAGATTGAAAATATATGGAAAAAAAGTTGTGCTTGTACTGAACATGTACAGACTTTTTCTTGTCATTATTCCTTAAAGAATACAGTATAACAATTATTTACATAACATTTACATTGTATTAGATATTATAAGTAGTCTAGAGATTTTAAAGTATACTGAAGTATGTGCACAGGTTGTATGCAAATAGTATATCAGGAACATGAGTATTTGCAGATTTTGGTATGTGTGGGAAGTTCTGGAACTAGTACTGCATAGATACCAAAGGATGATTGTGTAGTCACAGATTACATGACCTTGCATATTAAAAATCCCAAGGAATTAATAAAAAACTATTAGAACTAATAAATGAGCTCAGGTCAGTTGCAGAATAGAAGATCAATATATAAAAATCAGTTGTACTTCTATACACAGACGAACAATCCAAAAATGAAATTTAAAAAATTTCATTAACAATAGCATAACAAATTTTTAGGAATAAACTTAACAAAAAGTGTAAAATGTATACACTGAGAAATATAAAACATTATTGAATGAAATTAAGGAAACACCTAAATAAATGGAAAGATATCTTATAGAGGACTTCATATTTTTAATATGGCAATACTCCTTAATTGATCTGTATGTTCAGTGCAATTCCTACTGAAATCCTAGCTTTCTTTATTGCAGAAGTTGACAAGTTAATCATAAATTTATATAAAAGCAAAGGGACTTAGCATAGCTAAAACAGTCTTGAAAAAGAACAAAGTTTGAAGACTTTACTTCCTAATTTCAAAATTTATTACAAAACTACAGTAATCAAGACAATGTAGTACTAACTTAAGGATGAATATACAGATTAATGGAAAGGAATTGAGTCTCTATAATTTCTCACATTGATGGTAACTGATTTTTGATCAGGGTGCCAAGACAATTCATGGGCAAAGAATAGTCTTTTTAAATAATAGTGCTGGGACAACTGGATATCCACATGTAAAATAATGAAGTAAGACATCTACTTCACACTAGATACAAAAAAAAAAAAAAAAAAAAAGCTTAAAGTGGATCATAGGCCTATATATAAGAGCTAAACTTATTAAAACTCCAAGAAGAAACACAAGTCTTTGTGTACTTAGATTAGGCAGTGGTTTCTTAGATATGACACCAAAAGCTCAAGTGACAAGAAAAATAGTTAAGTTAGACTTTATCAAAGTTAAAAACATTTGTGCGTCAAAGAACACTATCAAAAATGTGAAAAGACAACCCACAAAATGGAAGAAAATGTTTGGGAATCATACATTCTGATAACTGTCTTATCTCCAGAATATAAAAGAATTCTTACAGCTCAACAATACAACTTAATCTAAAAAGTAGGCAAGGGACTTGAATAGACATTTTTCCAAATAAGACATACAAATGGCCAATAAGCATGTAAAAAGATGCCCAACAGGCGGGCCCCAGAGCGGGCTCAGGGGAGTGTGGCATGCCAGGCGCCTCCCGCCCGGAACATACGGAGGCTGGCCCAGGCGGCACAGGAGCTGGAGCAGGGCCCCAGTGGGCGTCCGAGCCCAAGCGGAAGTGGGAGAAGGGCTGGAGCGGGGATCCGCGCCGCGCTGCTGAAGCCTGGCCGGCCGCCCAGACACTGCCTGCGGCCCGGCCATGGCAGAGCCAAGGAAAGGATCTCTATACAAACAAATACGTGGCTGTCAAATTGGAGCTGATGAAGTCCCGGGCCCCACAGCTGCACCTGGGGTACTGGTTCTACAAGCGGCTCAGCGCCACTGAGGGCGCCCCTCAGGTCTACTACCTACTACTTCGGCCTGTGCTGGAAGTACAACGCTATGGTGCTGGAGCTGCTGGGGCCCAGCCTGAAGGACCTGTTCAACCTTCACGCTGAAGACAGTGCTCCCGATTGCCATCCAGCTGATCGCACGCATGGAGTATGTGCACACCAAGAGCCTCATTTACCAGGACGTGAAGTCCGAGAACTTCGTGGTGTGGCGCCCGGGGACCAAGCGGCAGCTCGCCATCCACATTATCAACTTCGGGCCGGCCAAGGGGTACATTGGCCTTGAGACCAAGAAGCACATCCCGTACCGTGAGCACAAGAGCTTGACAGGCAGGGCGCGCTACATGAACATCAACATGCAGCTGGGCAAGGAGCAGAGCCACTGCAGTGACCTGGAGGTGCTGGGCCACATGTTCATGTACTTCCTGTGCTGCAGCCTCCCCTGGCAGGGGCTCAAGGCCGACACGATCATGAGCAGTACAGAATATCGGGAACACCAAGCGCACCACGCCCATCGAAGTGCTCTGCTAGAACTTTCCAGAGGAGATGGCCACATACCTGCACTACGTGCGGCGCCTGGACTTGGAAAAACCCGACTGTGACTACCTGTGGACCTCTCCACCGACCTCTTTGACCGAAGCGGCTTCGTGTTCGACTTTGAGTACCACTGGCCCAGGAAGCCCTTGGCGACCCCCATCGGCACCGTCCACACCAACCAACCCTCCCAGCCTCAGCTTTGGGACAAAGATCAGCCACACAGCAAAAACCAGGTGCTGACCTCCACCAATGGGGAGCTGAATGTGGACGACCCCATGGCCGGCCAGTCCCGCGCCTATTACGGCGCCTGCAGAGATGGAGGTGGGCGATGAAACCAAATGCTGCTGTTTCTTCCCCTTGAATCTTCTCCGTGCAGCCCCTTGGGGCGTGAGCTTGTGTGAGGCCCTTGGGGCCCACCCACAGCAGCCCAGGGCCAGAGTCTGGCTGGAAGCCGGGACGCAGACTTAAGGGCCTGCGCCTGTCTCGGCCGGTGGCCCCATCCCGTAGACGAGGGGTCACTTCCTTCACATAAAACTGGCCAAAATTTCTATACCTGTGTCTAGTCCGCCCCTCCAAGAGCATTAACTATTTAAAACAAGGAAAAAAGTTGGGGGGGAAGACCCCTTCTACCCCCAACCCTGCCCCTCCATTTCTTTGCTGAAGTGAGTAGTGCGATCCTGGAGGCCCTCAGGGCTGAGGCCTGGCTCTGGCCCCGGCCCCGGCCCCAGCCCCGCCATCCGCCCCCGTTAGCTTCATAAAGTCTAGCTTCTCTTCCTCGATCCAAAGGCCGTTTTCTGGAGGGGAGGGCAGGCCTGGCCTGGAGTGGTGCTGTGGGGCCATCTTGCCCAGGCCCACCTGGGAGGTACACAGGCATTGCTGCCAGGGGTGAGGCTGTGCCCCAGGCTCCCCCAGAACTAAACGGGAAGGGAGGGGTGGGGCCGCGGCTGAAGCCAGCTCCGCACCCAAAATGCTGCACCAAAGCTCAAGCGCCGCAGTCACGGCCACTGCAGCCTTTCCCAGCCTCGTCCCGGCGAGGGGCAGGTGGGCCCTGCTAGGAGGGTGCTTCTCGAGGCACCTGTTCCCGGAGGCTGTGCTCCGACCCTCAGAACCTGAGGCGGGTGGGCCGGCTGGCGTCTCCCTGCTTGGCCCCTGGGCTCTGCTGCATGGGGGCGCGCGGGCAGGGGGCTTCCTGTCTCTGTGCTCTGCCACCCGGCAAGCAGCCGCAGACAAAATGCCTTAAAGCCCCCGGCTCAGCCCCGTAGGTGTATGTGCAGGGGCCTGGGGGCGGCTCAGGACTGGCTGGCGGTCCCCCAGCGGGTCAGCTTGAGGCCGTGCCCAGGGCGGTGGCCGTGAATCTGGTTTTTGCTTTACCAAGTGTACAGAAATGGCATTTACGTTTCTCTGATGCTCTTTTGAAGCCATACAACTTAGGGGCTTTTTAAAAAGAAAAGAAAAGAAAAATGAACCCCCCCCCCCAAAAAGATGCCCAACATCATTGGTCATTAGAGAAAAGCCAATCAAAACCACAATGGGATAATCATAGATCTACAAGGATGGCAAAAATCAGAAAGACAAAAATAACAAGTGTTAGAGGATTTGGACTAGTTTGGAAGCCATATATTGCTGTTGGGAATGTAAAGTGGTGCTGCTACTTTGGAAAACAGTTTGGCCATTCCTCAAAAGGATAAACACAGAGTTACCATATGACCCAGCAATTCTACTTCTAGATATATATGCAATAGAAATGAAAACATATATCCACAAAAACTTGTACATGACTCTTCATACCAGCATTATTCACAATAGCAAAATAATAGAAACAGTCCCAAATGTCTGTCCGGCGATGGATACGGAAAAAGTAGTATATTCATACAATGAAATATTAATTTGGCAATAAAAGGGAATCAAGTAATGATACATGCTCTAATGTGGATGAACCCTGAAAACATTATGCTGAGTGAAAGAAGGTAGACAGGCCACATGTTCTAAAATTAGAGTGTGGTGATATTTGTATAATGCTATGAATAAACTAAAAACATTGAATTTTACACTTTAAGTGGGTGGACTTTATGGCATGTGAATTATATCTCAATAAAGGTGTTACTAAAAGACTCAATATAGAGTATTCTTTGTTTCTTTGAAGGACAAGTTTTTAACTTCTATTTCTCCAAAGAAGCAATTATTTGTTTTTATGCCAAATTAGCATTTTCAGATTCTCTAATGGTGTTACTGGATTAAATTATGTTTTTACTTTTTGTTAAGGTTTTATTTCTACATTTTTTGTTTCTTATTGCTTCTACATTTTGTGCACTGAAGGAGGTTGTATATTGATTTTACACTTACATTTCTTGTACTTTCTGCCTATATTAGTGTTATCCACATATCCTTTTGTCTCGAATTTATATTTAATACTGTTAGCTGTGTTTTCTAAGTATGGGATAATACCTTTCAGTATGCTGTAGGTGACTATATATAGATAGTGTGTTTGTATATTAACTGTTTGGAAGCTGACCAAATGTTTTTATTGTCTTGTAGATTTTACTTTCCTCGTTGGTATTGCAGCGGCAGCAACAGAGCCTATCGGCATGGAATATCTCGAGGTGCTGAAGCTCCTCTTCTTGATGACTTTGTCATGTCTTACCTCTTTGCTCAGGTATGATTATACTATCTTACTTGTACATGTATTAAATGATAAATATTTTGCTGTTTAGTAAGTCACTTAATCAGGAAAAACTTCACATATGGGAAAATTGCAGTTCTGTCTTGCACAGCAGGTGCAGAGAAGTAACAAAATTGAGTCTTTTTATCACTAGTTTTTAATCCCATGGTTTATGGATAATAGAATCTATTTTATAAAGTTTTTTTTGGATTGATCCTTTTGAATTTCTTTTTTTTTTTTTTTAGGACTTTAGATCATTTTAAGGATTTCACAAGGTATAGACTGAGGTTTATTTACAGAATGATTCATATAGGCATATGTGGCTAAAATATTAGTAACATTTCTTTAGGGTTTTAAAAAAATTTTTGGATAATTTCAGGCTTACACAATGGACAATGAACTGTAGAGGAAGTAGGCTACATAAAAAATAAGCTATGATAGTTTGTGTAGCTGTTTATAGGAAGGTGACTGGATGTTGATACTTAGTCTAAGAGCTATATTCAAGTTATTTGTTCACTAATACAGTTATGTCAAATTTTGGTATTGTGTTGGTATTTCATAATGCTTTCTTCTCTAGTACCTTGATTTAAACAGTAATTAAAATATTTTGTCATTAAATAACTTGTTTTTATGTGCTGCTAGACTAGTATGAATAGAAACTAAAGGAAGAAAATATATTAGTGCTCTTGGGTAGAAATATGCACTTGGTATCCCCAAGGTATCAGGAGTTCTAAATCCGATTTGCTAATATTGTAGGACATAAGCCCACAAATCCTCATGGCTCGCATTTCCGAGAAGAAGCCTAGTAAGGCTAGTTCAGTTTATGAACAACAAAAGGAAAAATATTTCTCTATTGGGGTATGAGACCAACAAACTTTATTTTTATTTTGTTAAGAAATATATAATAAAAATGACCATTTTAAGTGTGCAGTTCAGTTGTATTAAATACAAACACATTGTTGTACAACCATCACCACCATCCATCTCCAGAACATTTTTCATATTCCCAAATGGAAATTTCATACCCATTAAATAATAACTCTCTATTTCCCACTCCCAATGGCCTTTCGCAGTCACTATTCTACTTTTGACTATAAATCTGCCTTTTCTAGGTTCCTCATACAAATGGAATTATATAGCATTTGTCCTTTTTTGACTGGCTTATTTCACTTAGCATAATGTCTGCTAGGTTCATCCATGTTGTAGCATGTGCCAGAATTTCTTTCCTTTTTAAAGCTGAACAATATTTCATTGCATATGTGTACTTATTCATCTGTCGATGGATACGTGGGTTGCTGCTGTGAACATGGGTAAACAAATATTTCCTTGAGTCCGTTTTCAGTTCTTTTGGATACATACCCAGAAGTGGAATTGCTGGATCATATGGTAAATTTATAATTTTTTTGAGGAACTGCTACATTGTCTTCTGTAGTGGCTGTACTATTTTTCAGTCCTACCAGCAGTGCACAAGTGTTCCAATTTCTTAACATCCTCAACAATGCTTTGCTTTGTTTGATAATAGCCATCCTTATGGGTATGAGGTGGTATCATTGTGATTTTGATGCATTACTTCTCTAACAACTAGTGATCATGAGCATCTTTTCATATGCTTGTTGGCCATCTGTTTGTCTTCTTTGCAGAGATGTCTCTTGTTGGCCATTTGTTTATCTTCTTTGCAGAGATGTCTATTCAAGTCCTTGGTCCATTTTTAAATCAGGTTGTTTGTTTGTTGTTGTTGTATTGTAGAAATTATTATTCTGGATCTTAACTCCTTATAAGATATATGATTTGTACATAGTTTTTCCCATTCTCTAGGTTGTCTTTTCATTCTGTTACTTGTCTTTTGGTGGACAAAAGTTTTAAATTTGGCTGTATTCTAATTTATCTATTCTTTTTTGTTTCTTATGTTTTTGGTGTCGTATCCAAGAAATCATTGCCAAATCCAATGTTATGAAGCTTTCTTTCTGTTTTCTTGCAAGAGTTTTATCGTTTTAGCTCTTACATTTAGGCCTTGGGTCCATTTTGAGTTAATTTTTGTCTATCGTGTAAGGTAAGGGTCCAACTTCTTTTGCTTGTGAATATCCAGTTTTCCTAGCACCATTTGTTGAAAGACTGTCTTTTCTCCATTGAATGGTCTTGACACCTTTGTTGAAAATCATTTGACCACCAACTTACTTTTTTATACAGCTCCTTTATCTTTATAGCCATTATAAAAAGAGAGGGGGATGGAGAGAGGCTTCTGAGAATAGCCTTTTGAAAATAGGATATGATGAGGTTACAACTTTCTGTTGCTTTTACGGGTATATTATTCACCTGTCCTGCAGAGCTAGTTTATTTTGGGGACAGGCTAGTTAAGTCCCATTTATAAGCCAAGTTTTCCCAAACTATTCATTCAGCTACTTTAGCCTAACATTAATACTGCAATGTAAATTTCTTAAGCTCAAATTTTGTCTGCTACTCAGATGAGAAGGTTTTCTTTCTTATTTTTTTTGTAGAGATGGAGGTCTTTGATGCCCAGGCTGGCAGGATGATAGCTCACTGCAGCCTTGAATTCCTGGGCTCAAGTGATTGTCTTGCTTTAGCCTCACAGCTTCCCGAGTAGCTAGGTACAGGTGTGTGCCACTATGCCTGGCTAATTTTTTTAGTTTTGTTTTTGTAGAGATGGGGTCTCGCTCTATTGTCCAGGCTGGTTTTAAACTCCTGACTTCAAATGATCCTCCTACCTCAGCCTCCCAAAGTGCTGGGATTACAGGTGTGAGCCACCACACCTGGCCTGAAATTTTCAGTAGTTTTAATTAAATGAAAATTTTGATGGTACATACTATAATATTTAAGGAATAGTATTATGTTTCGGCATTTGAGACTCTTCTATTTGTAACTTTTCTCTAGTGAATAGTTGATTATGTTTTTAGTATTGCTATCACTAATTTTTCATATATTTATTGTCTTTTGGTCATGAGTTCCACAGAATATCCACATGAGCAGAATTTGTTATCTACCAGTTCTTTTCTTTCTTTTTTTTGAGACAGAGTATCAGGAGAACCTGCTCCCGATGGTTACGTGGGTTCTTTTCTATTTCCTGGGTGTCTTGGCTGGTTTGAGAAATAAAGGGAAAGAGTATAAGAGAGAGAAATTTAAAGCTTGGTGTCCGGGGGAGACATCACATGTTGGCAGGATCCGTGATGTTCCCAGAGCCGTAAAACCAGCAAATTTTTATTAGCGATTTTCAAAAGGGGAGGGAGTGCACAAATAGGGTGTGGGTCACAGAAATCACATACTTTACAAGGTAATAAAATATCACAAAGAAAGTGGAGGCAGGGTGAGATCACAGGACCACAGGATGGGGCGAAATTAAAATTGCTAATGAAGTTTCGGGCACACATTTGTCATTGAGAACATCTTATCAGGAAACAGGGTTTGAGAGCAGACAACCTGTCTGACCAAAATTTATTAGGCGGGAATTTTCCTCGTCCTAATAAGTCTGGGAGCGCTACAGGAGACCGAGGCTTTTTTCATCCCTTCAGCTTGGACCATAAAAGACGGCACACCTTAAGGGGGCCGTCTACAAACCTACCCTCAGGGCACATTCTCTTTCTCAGGGATGTTCCTTGCAGAGAAAAAGAATTCAGCGATATTTCTCCTATTTGCTTTTGAAAGAGGAGAAATATGGCTCTGTTCCGTCCTGCTCACTTGTGGCCAGAAGTCTTATCTCTGGTGTTCCCTGAGCATTGCTGTTATCCTGTTCTTTTTTCAAGATGCCCAGATTTCATATTGTTCAAACACACATGCTCTACAAACAATTTGTGCAGTTGACGCAATCATCACAGGGTCCTGAGGTGACATATATCCTCCTCAGATTATGAAGATGACAGGATTAAGACATTAAAGTAAAGACAGGCATAGGAAATCACAAGGGTATTGACTGGGGAAGTGATAAGTGTCCATGAAATCTTCACAATTTATGTTCAGAGATTAGAGTAAAGACAGGCATAAGAAATTATAAAAGTATTAATTTGGGGAACTAATAAATGTCTATGAAATCTTCACAATTTATGTTCTTCTGCCGCGGCTTCAGCTGGTCCCTCCGTTTGGGGTCTCTGACTTCCCGCAACAAGAGAGTCTCCCACTGTTGCCCGGGCTGGAGGGCAATAGCGTGATCTCGGCTCACTGCAACCTCTGCCTCCTGGGTTCAAGTGATTCTCCTGACTCAGCCTCCCTAGTAGCTAGGATTACAGGTGCCTGCCACTACACCCAGCTAATTTTTTGTATTTTTAGTAGAGACGGGGTTTCACTATGTTGGCCAGGCTGGTCTTGAACTCCTGACCTTGTCATCTGCCCACCTTGGCTTCCCAAAGTGATGGGATTACAGGCGTGAGCCACCATGTCCAGACTCTCTACTAGTTCTATATGGAACCAAGGCAAGCTATTAAAAAGAATCTACCAAGTCATTGATCATCTTCTACTTAAACAGTATAACTTACTTGCCTGTTCTCAAAAGTGTGGTGAAATAAGTGTTTAAAACTGAGCAAAAATCTGTCTCCTACCCTGAATTATTTTTGTATTAGCAACATTTAGGCCTTTGTTTTGGTTAATACTGATTATATGATGGTGTGCTTCTTAATAGTTTATTTTCTTATATGAAAATATCTTCTATATTTTATTAATAAAAAAGCAAATATACTTTTGAATATATGTTTCTTTTAATAAAATTAGTTTAAAAAGGTTCCAGTAAAGCTTTAAGTTCGTGAGACAAGTTATCAACATCAAAAGAAGGGAAATACAGATGTAGAATATAGAAGGACCTATATTTCTCTTGTCCAGTTTAAAACCTTGATTCACATTGTTATTTTAGGTGATACGGCTCTTACCTTTTTTCTACAAAGAAAATTGGTATTATGTTTAGAATATTTGTACTTTTGCTTTCTTTTTCTTTCTCCCATTACATGTTCAGTCTGATTTATCTGCATTCCTAAATCCTTCAGGTCAAAATCTTAGAACCTCTGTGTTTCTCTCTTCTTCATTCTTTATACAATATATAGTTAATAAAGTATCAGCCTTTTTCAGAATCTTTTAGTATCTTATGTTTCCTGGATCAGATCCTTATTATTTCATATCTGAGCCATACACCAGCCTCTTAAAGAGCCTCTCTGCATACACTTTATTTTCTTCAAGCACTTCTGTCATTGCTACTACTCTACCAATGGAAGAGACATGATGAAAATAGATCTCCATAGTTTCTAGGATTAGGTCATTCAAGGGCACCTGCAGTCTGACCCCAACTTACTTTTCTAGGTTTTAATCCACATTATTTCTTCACATAAACTTCAGTCCCTAATCAAATTAGTTTATGCATCTGAACATACCTTGTGCTTTTTTGTGTGTCTTGTTCCTTCTATTTCTTTACCCTGTTTTGTGTCCATCATACATTTCTTTATTTTTAAACACACTGTGAAGTTTCAAATCTTCCATGAAACCCTCCTTGATTACTCCAACTGAATATAATCTTAACCGTCTCCAAGTTCCTGAAGGAGCTTTTGTGTGGTGCTTCCTATATCATGTCTGGCATTTTAATTATTTGCTTCCGTTTAGCTTCTAAGCTAAATTTTGGTCCCCTTGATGACTGAGACCACATCTTATACAGTCATGTGTCACTTACTTATGGGGATATATTCTGAGAAATAAGTCATTAGGCAGTTTTATTATTCTGTGATTATCATGTATTGTACTTACACAAACCTATATGGTATAGCCTAGTATATGCCTAGTCTATATGGTATAGCCTATTATTGCTCTAGGCTACAAACCTATATAGCATGTTGCTATACTGAATATTGTAGGGAATTGTAACACAATGGTAAGTATTTGTGTAGTTAAACATATACAAACATAAAAAAGGTACAGTAAAAATGCAGAATTACAATCTTATGGAACCATCATTATATATGTGGTCTGCCATTGACCAAAACATTGTTATGGGGCACATGGCTATTTCTTTGTATCCAACACCATTTGTAGTATGATGCTTCCAACATAATTGGAGTTCAGTATATATTTAATTCAGTAATATCTATTTTAATTTAGGTAATTTTTATGTAGAACATATAAATTGAAGATATATGCAATGAAATAGGCCAATGTTGTATGTACTTTGTAATTGGGAACCCAGTGTAAATCAGTTTTCATTTGCAAATGAACTTTTATTAAAATTGTATTGCAAAATGAATGAAAATTAAAGGAGGAATTTATTTATTTATTATTTTAGAGACTGGGTCTTGGTCTGTCACCCAGACTGGGGTGCAGTGGTGTGATCATAGCTCAAGAGATCTTCCTACCTCAGCCCCCCGAGTAGCTGGGACTGCAGGTTTGTGCCACCATGCCTGACTAATTTTTAAATTTTTTGTAGGGACGAGATCTTGTTATGTTGCCCAGGCTGGTCTCAATCTCCTGGACTCAAGTGATCTTCATGCCTTGGCCTCCCAAAGTTCTGGGATTATGGGCATGAGCTGCTGAGCCTGGCCAATTTGTAGCTTGTAAATGCACATGTTCTGAAAATTATGATTAAAATACAATCATAGATTAAAACATGTTAATGAAACTTATGATGAGATATTTCCTTCTAAATTTCTGGTTTCAGTGGCGGCATGATTTTGTGCATGGATGGATAAAAGTACCTGTGACTCATGAAACACAGGAAGAATGTCTTGGGATGGCAGTGTTAGATATGATGAGAATAGCCAAAGAAAATGATCAAACCCCACTGGCCATCTATAATTCTATCAGGTAATTTTCTTTTGCAAATCCTTACACATAAGTGTGAGTAGAGATTTTATATAATTCCTATATATTTTCTGTGTTTACCCATGCCTTTTGATTTTGTAATACTGGTTAAGTACCCCTTATCTAAAATGCTTGGAATCAGAAATGTTTCAGATTTTGGATATTTCCAGATTTTGGAATATTGGCATTGAACTTAACAGTTGAGCAACCCTAATCCAAAATGCTCTAATGAGCATTTCCTTTGAACATCATGTTGACATTCAAAAAGTTCTGGGTTTTGGAACATTTCAGATTTCAGATATTTGCAAGAGGGATAGTCAACCTGTAATAAAAAATCATACGGGTAAGTTTTATATCTTGGGAGTAACACACACTTTGTAAGGTGAAATTATTGAAAGAGTTGTATTACAGGAAATATCATAGGTATTAAATATCTATTATTTGATTTCATTTATTCTGAGAAGGCTAGGTAAGTTCAGAGGAATGGAAGAAACACCTGGAGGCACACTTTTTGATAGTAGATCCTCTAGCTGGCTATATAAATGACCTGAATAAGTATTTCCCAAATGGTGGTGTATTATTTTATTTGCATTAGAATCACATGGGGGTGTCTGTTAAAATCAAAGATTTCTGGGTCCTAATCCAAGAGATTTGGATTCAGTAAATCCGAGTTGAAGCCCACAAATGTGAATTTTTACAGGTGCTCTAGGGTATTCTTATACAAGTGATCCAAACTCTGCATTCTTCAAATTATTCTTCTGCATATTGAACTTGACAATCATGGCTAATAACAGTTTTCTGAAACTCTACAGGCTATAAAACTACTTTTTAAAAAGTTATATATAAGAATGGTTTGACTTTTAAGTTTGAAGGCTAAATATGTATTTTATATATTACATACTTTACCAGATTAAAAATTTGAGTATGTCATGAATGTGCTTAAAGCTTCCTTTTTTGAAATTGTTCTCCCAATAACTGGCTTTAGTCATTTCTTTGCCCTGTCATCAAAACAGTTACATACCCAATTTGCAGAGTATCAATTTCTGTATTTCTCTCTTTGGTTTTAAATATTCTTGTTTTACTTTCAGATGTCTATTTGGCCTTAACTCAACGGTGTAAGCCATAGGGTATAATTTTAGGAACTCAGGAATCTAAAAGATTCCAAAGCCCAAAGGAAAAAAAAAAAAACACATTCATTCATTCATTTGGTAGCTACTTATTGAATACTTGCTATATGCCAGGTTATAGTAGAACATAGTCGCAGGAAGAGTATCTTAGATGTCGTTACATAGAAACCAAAGGAATTGAGGGGAACACAGTTGAAGAACAGAAGCTTTGACCCATTGAAGATGAATGTTATAAATATGAAGCCATCTCTAGACTTATGCTATCGTGGAATATTTCTGCTTTGGAAACCATGATGTCATCCAAAGTCTCGGCACAATCTTTCTATGTAGATTGTAGTTTCTTCCAGGTCGAGAATCATGTCATCTATTACTCTTCTCCCTACATTATTTAGTCTAGTGTTCTAAACCTGATGACTATTTAGTAACTGTATTTATCTGATTCTTTTAACTCATGCTCTTAGCCATGCAAAATGCTGCATCATTCTTTTTTACTGCTTTACTTTAAAAATAGTGTAGATATTAAACACTTATATAAGATTCTGTGATATTTTAAGAGTTTATTGAGATAATTTACAAATCATAAATCTCACCCATTTAAAGTGTACAATTTAATATTTTGTATTATATTCACAGGGTTGTATAAAGATTTCCACAATCTAATTTTAGAACATTTTCATTCTTTCTGAAAGAAACCCCATGCCCATTAGCATTCAGTCCTCATCCCACTTTCCCCTAGCCTCTGGAAATCACTTTATGTTTGTGTGGATTTTCCTGTCTCAAACATTTCATATAAATAGAATCATGCAAAATGTGGTGTGGCATTTTTTTGTCTGACTTCTTTCACTTAGTATGATGTTTCCAAGGTTCATTCATGTTGTAGAATGTATCAGTACTTCATTTCTTTTTATTGCTGAATCATATTTCATTTCACCAAGATATACCACATTTTGCTTATTTGTTCTTCACTTTATGAAAATGTGGGCTGCTTCCATGTTTTGGCTATTGTGACTAATGCGGCTATGAACAGCTGTATATGAGTAATTTTGTGGATGTATTTTTTCATTTTTTCTTGTGCATACATTTAGGAGTGGAATTCCTGGAACATATGGTAACTCTAACTTTTTGAGGAACTGCTTAACTTTTCAAAAGCAGCTGTGCCACATTACATTCACACTAGCAGTACATGAAGAGTTCCAACTTTTTCAGCACTTGTTTCTGTCTGTCTTTATTTTATCCATCCTAGTGGGTGGAAGAGCTGTCTCATTCTAGTTTTGATGTTCATTTCTCTGATGACTACTGATGTTTGGCATCTTTTCATGCACTTTTTGGCCATTTGTATGCCTTCATTAGCGAAGCGTCTATTTGAATTCCTTGCTCATTTTTTAATTGGGTTAGTTGTCTTTTAATTGTTGAGTTTAAAAAATTCTTTTTATATTCTGAATACAAGTCTCCACATATAATCATATTTATGATTTGCCACTATTTCCTCCCATTCTATATATTGTTGTTTTACTTTCCTGAAGGTATCATTTGTAGCACAAAAGTTTTAATTTTGAAGCAGTCTAATTTGCCAGATTTTTCTTTTGTGTCTTGTGCCATGTGGAAATGTGGTTTTAGCAACATGGGTATCTTTCTTGGTTTTAGCAAGAGCAGTTTCTCTTGAAATAATGGAACAGAGCCAAATTGGAATGAGTTTAGGGATAAATGGAAGGCAAGAAAATGGAAATGGCTATGTACATTCTTTCAAAAAGAGGCCAGATAGGCTGTGGCTAGAGGGAAATGTGGGATTAAGAGGTTTTACATTTTAGATGGGAAGGACATTAATTTAGCAAGTCCTTTTTATCTGTGGATTCCACATCTAATATGTCATAGAATGAGGTCCAGAAAGGTTTCCTGGATTTGATGATGCTTGAGCTGAGCCTTGTAGAATGGGTAACTAGATAGGAGATGGATGATTGGAAGAAAGATTAGCATATATTAAGGCATGGAAAATTATTTATTGGTACTTTAGAAATAAAATGTTCCTTAGAAGCAGAGAAATAACCTTCTTTAGAATATTGCACAGAGATGAATGTACAGAAAAGTCAGAACATTTCTAAATGGAATTGTTTTGATCACAAGGGAATTATTAGGAGTTGAAGCTGGCCTAACAAAATAATATACAGAAGTATGTTTCCATAATGAAAATAGCTTCCAACAGAATGTAACAATTTCCAAAATTCAGGTAAATTTTGGAGCACAGCATCATAGGAAATATTTGTAGCACAGTTCAATATGTGCCAAAATATTATCTTATCAACCATTAACTCTGGTATGTGAAATAAAGAACAGGAATTTTTAGAGACTCTTACTAACTAGACTGAGGATTCATTTCATTAGGGCAAGAAGATTAACATCTTCTTTTGTAAACATTGATGATAACTTCAGTGTGTGGATATATTTGTATCATCAAACAAAATCTTAAAGTTTTATACTGTATGGATGGGGGTTATGGCAACTTACTCCACTTGGCCACTGTGTTGTAATGCCTACTTAACCATGGAAAAAGGTGGTAACTTCTTTTTCAATTTTTAGATTTATCTTCTAATTTTTGTTTTGTTTTTCTGTATGTGCTTTTTTATCTGCAGCTACAAGACATTCTTACCAGAATGTATTCGAGCAAAGATCCAAGACTATCATATTTTGACAAGGAAGCGAATAAGGTACAGATTTCGCAGATTTATTCAGCAGTTCAGCCAATGCAAAGCCACTGCCAGAAACTTGAAACTTAAGTATCTTATAAATCTGGAAACCCTGCAGTCTGCCTTCTACACAGAGAAATTTGAAGTAAAAGAACCTGGAAGTGGTCCTTCAGGTGAGGAGATTTTTGCAACCATTATAATAACTGGAAACGGTGGAATTCAGTGGTCAAGAGGGAAACATAAAGAAAGTGAGACACTGACAGAACAGGTAATCCTTAATGATATGTTCTTGTTCTTTTGTTATTTTAAGTAGAATGGAAATAAAAACAAAGTAATTTTAATCATTTGCAACATGGTCTTGCACTTCTCCCATTTGATAGAAGTGGAAGTTTTTAATAGTGTGAAGCTATCAAGGTCATATAATTCTTTGCCTGCTATTCTTAAATGGTTTTTTCATTTAATTTTTTATGACAAAATAATTAGCAATGACTATATTACAGTTTCAGAAAGGTATCCAATTCTAATAGTGATTTTAAAGGAGTTTTGCCTTTCTTTCACTATTAGTGATAACAGAAGGCATAATTATAAAACTCGTTAACTAGCCGGGCGCAGTGGCTCACGCCTGTAATCCCAGCACTTTGGGAGGCCGAGGCGGGCAGATCACAAGGTCAGGAGATCGAGACCACGGTGAAACCCTGTCTCTACTAAAAATACAAAAAATTAGCCGGGCGCGGTGGCGGGCGCCTGTAGTCCCAGCTACTCAGGAGGCTGAGGCAGGAGAATGGCGTAAACCCAGGAGGCGGAGCTTGCAGTGAGCCGAGATCGCGCCACTGCACTCCAGCCTGGGCGACAGAGTGAGACTCCGTCTCAAAAAAAAAAAAAAAAAAAACTCGTTAACTAGAAAAGATTAATATTAATTGATTTTATGATAATATATACCTGCTAAATAATTAATTATTTTTTTTTTAGGTTTGCATTGCAAGTTTTAAATTTATTAGTATCCATGTTGTTCACAGATTGTTACTAGAGATTTAGAGGGATGATTTTTTAATTTTTCATCTTTGGTAGTCTCATTTCCAGTCTTCTGGCAGTGGTTTCTACTAATGTTAATTGAATTGAAGAGTGCCATAGCACATTTTAGATTCCTGGCATCATTTAATGCTCTCATTTTTAAGTCAAACAAGATACAGCATAGTCTTAGGGTTAGATTGATAGAGGAAATCATATTTAATGCTTATCTGTTGTTATCAATACCTTTTTTATTTTAAAGAATTTGGAATGAATGTTGTCTTCTTCATAAGTCTTGTTTTAAAATGGCTCCATAAATTCTACGTTTTTAATTTTACATGCTTTTAAATTATAGGATTTACAGTTATATTGCGATTTTCCTAATATTATTGATGTCAGTATTAAGCAAGCAAACCAAGAGGGTTCAGATGAAAGCCGAGTTGTAACTATCCATAAGCAAGATGGTAAAAATCTGGTAAGTTTGCTTTATGGTTGAATAATGGTTTCATTTTATAATTCTCAGAAATATGTATTTTAGAATCTTAGTACCAAAATTATTTTCTGGTAGGAATTTTGATTGTAGTTTTAAATATAACTCTAAACATAAACATCAGTTCAGTAAACTTTTTGATAACATCTAGCTTTTTGTATTACTATCAACACCATCTTCCTACAGAGTTTCTTGTACATTACCGTACTTTTTTTACTCATTTTTATGATTAGCAAAGCACCAGTTACTTTCTCCCCTATCTCTACTCTAGATTATACTAGTTCTCTGATGTAATGCTCACCCCTGACTAAAATATTTTATCAATAGGGATGTATATGTGCCAGTTATACTGCCTAATTAAAGGAGAAAAATAAAACAATGATGTCTGGAACTTATATAACAAAATGTAAATCAATCCCAGGTCAGCCCCACCCAAGCTATAAGACATAGTTGATTCTAAAAGATTAACCCTTTCTCTTTTTTAAATAGCTTCAGAAATCGAATTTATTTTAATATAAATGGAAGAAATGAATTATTTTATACTTTGCTCTTAAGTTTCTCATTTATCTGCTCTGTCTTCTTTTTAACTCAGATGCTTCTTGACACTTCCTGGCTTAAACTAGTCCTATTAATGTTATTTATCCATTTATCTTAAGTATTTATATGGCTTACCTGTCTGGCTGTTCCAGGGTTATATTACCAAAATTATAACTAATTTGCAACTCACTTAATTCAGCATAGTTTTCTGTTCTTAGAGAAAAATATGATAGTACACCTAGTGCGTAGTAGACTGTGAGCCTTTTGAAGGTAAGGATCATATTTTTATGTGTGTTTGTACCCCCTATACCTTGCACAGTGTACTCAGGGCCTAGTTTAGAAAAAGCTTGATAAATATTTTATGGATGCATGAAAGGATGATTAATTCTCAACCTCAATGTGGATCTATAATAAATGTTTCTGGGAGAGTTTATTGATCTTAATGTGAACAAACTGTAGTAACCTAAAGAACTTCTCTATGGGACTGTATTTGGACTTGGCTTAATTTTAAGTCTGCAATCCAGAGAAGTTAAGTAACTTTCCAAGGGCACGGTGTTGGTTAAGTGGTAGGGCTATTTAAACTCAAATGCATGATTTGAAAACCTAAGCTCTTAAGTGTGACACTAACTTCTTTGCTGAGTATCTGTAAAGCTCCTTAAAAATATTACACTGACATTTTTTTGGAATTGTGCAACAAATTGGGAAGAGCTGACATTTCTGTCTCATATTAAATTTTCTGTTTTAGGGATATATTGTATTTCTCCTTATACCCAAGTATTGTTTTATGTTTTTCAGTAATTCTTGATCATTTTATTCATATTGACACATCATGTTTCTTTTTATTTTATTCATGATATGTTTTGCTTTTTCTGTTGTTTATTAAGATTAATACTTTTTCTCTGTGTATTTTCCTACCAAATTATTTTTGGATATAGGAAAATAATTTTTGCTTATTATTGCATTTTCCCAGTGTATTATGTATTAGTAACATTTTGTTTTTACTATCGTTTTCCTCTTCATTCTAGCATTTATTTCTTTTTATAATTTTTGGTAAAATATACATAATATAAAATTTAGCATCTTAACTATTTTTAAGTGTACAGTTTAGTAGTGTTAAGTATTTTCACATTGTTGTGCATCCAATTTCCAGAACTCTTTTATCTTGCAAAATTGAAGTCTATACCCATTAAATAAAAACTCACCATTTCCCCCTCTTCCCAGTCCTTGCAACCACCATTCTACTTTCTTTATTTTTTTTGAGGTGGAGTCTCACCCTGTCATCCAGGCTGGAACATTGCGATCTTGGCTCACTGCAACCTGCACCTCCTGTGTTCAGGCAATTCTCCTGCCTCAGCCTCCCGGGTAGTTGGGATTACAGGTGCATGCCACCATGCCTGGCTAATTTTTTTTTATCTTTAGTAGAGACGGGGTTTCACCATGTTGGCCAGGCTGGTCTTGAACTCCTGACCTCATGATCTGCCCACCTCAGCCTCCCAAAGTGCTGGAATTACAGGCGTGAGCCACTGTGCCCAGGCCCTCTACTTTCTTATTCTATGTATTTGACGACTCTAGATACCTCATAAAAGCAGGATCAAACAATACTGTCTTTTTGTGACAGGCTTATTTCACTTAGTATAATATATTCAAGGTTCATTTGTATTACAGCATGTATCAGAATTTCCTTCATTTTTAATATATACATGTATTCTGTGTCATATATATACCACACTTGTTTATTCATTCATCCATCAGTGAATATTCAGGTCGCTTTTTTACTTTTTGACAATTGTGAGTAATGCCGCTGTGAACATGGGTGTACAAATATCTCTTCAAGACTTTGCATTCAATTCCTTTGGATATATACCTTCTACTAGTCTGTTCTCATACTGCTATAAAGATACTACCTGAGACTGGATAATTTATTTAAAAAGAGGGTTTAATTGAGTCAGTTCTGCATAGCTGGCCCAGGAAACTTAAAATCATGGCAGAAGGTGAAGGGGAAGGAAGGCATGTCTTACATGGCAGCAGAAGAGAGAGAGTGCGCAGGGGAAAGTGCCACTTTTAAATCAGCAGATCTCATGAGAACTCCCTCACTATCATGAGAACAGCATGGGGGAAACCATCCCCATGATTCAATCACCTCCCACCATGTCCCTCCCTTGCTGCATGGGGATTACAATTCGAGATGAGAGATGGGTGGGGATGCAGAACCAAACCATGTCATACTTAGAAGTAGAATTGCTGGATCATATGGTAATTCTACTTGTAATTTTTTAGGGAACCATCATGCTGTTTTCCACAGTAGCTGCACCATTTTTACATTCCTACCAGGAGTACATTCTCCCCATGCTCATCAAAACTTGTTATCTTCTGTTTTCTGATAGTAGCCATCTGATGGGTGTGAAGTAGTATCTCATTGTGATTTTGATTCACATTTCCCTAATGATTAGTGTTACTGAGCATCTTTTAATATATGTATTGCCATTTGTGTATCTTCTTTGAAGAAATATATATTCAAGTCCTTTGCTCATTTTTTAAATCAGGTTTTTTGGCTGAATTATGAAAATTATTTGTGTATTCTGGATATTAATCCCTTTTCAAATATATGATTTGCACATATTTTCTCCCATTCCATAGATTGCTTTTCACTATGTTGCTTGTGTCCTTTGATGCACAGTAGTTTTGTAGTTTTAGCTAGTTCAACTTTTGTTGCCTATTTTTCTTTTTACTTTTTATTGAGCTATAACATGAACACAGTAAAGCACACTAATCTTACGTGTATAGCTCAATGAATTTTTACATATTTGTACATCTTTGTAGCCATACCCACCTCAAAGAACAGAATACTTCTCTTACTTCCAGAAGGTTTCCACATGCATCTTCCCACTTATTCACCTCCACCCCTAACTTAAGGTACCTATCATCTACCATCACTTAGTTTTATCTATTAACAAAGGTTGTATAAATGGAATGATACTGTATGTTTTCTTTTAAAATCTAGATTCTTTTACTTAGTATAATGTTTGAAGATTCATTTATGTTGTTACATGTGTCAGTTCACTCCTTTTTATTGCTGGGTAGTACTGAATTGTTTGACTATATCTCAAATTTTAAATTTATTCTGTTGATGGACATTTGGGTTGCTTTCAGTTTGGGGCTTTTAGGGATAAATTTACTATGAACATTCTTTTACATATTTTTTGGTGGACTCATGCACTCATTTTTTTGTGTATATATACCTAGAGATGGGATTATTGAGTCATAGTGATAGCTTTAGTATACTGCCAAACAATTTTTTGTACTTCTGTCAGTTCACTCTTCCTTCAATAATGCATGATAATTACAGTTGTCTCATATCCCCATCAACTCTTAATTTTGTCAGTCTAAAAATGTCTTGTGTGTCTGGTGGATGTGTACTGGTAGCTCATTGTAGTTTTTATTTTCATTGCCCTGATGAGTAATGATGTTGAGTACTTTTTCACTTACTTATTGTTCATCTGAATATCCTTCTTACAAAGTGCCTGTGACAGTCTTTTGCACATTTTTCATTGGCTTGTCCCTTTCTGATCAATTTGTAGAGTCTCTATAGATTCTAAGTCTTTTGTAGGATGTTTGCAAAATGTATATAGGCATATGTCAGATATTGCTAGTTCAGTTCTGGACCATTGCCATAAAGCAAATATTGCAATGAAGTGAGTTGCATAAATTTTTTGGTTTCTCAGTCATATAAAAGTTATGTTTACACTATAATCAAGTCTACTAAGTGTGCAACTGCATTATGTCTTAAAAATTAATTTAAAACACTTGATTGCTAAAAAATCCTAATGATAATCTGAGCCTCCAGAGAGTTATAATCTTTCTGCTTGTGAGGGTATTACTTTGATGTTGATGGTGCTGACCGATCAGGGTGGTGGTTGCTTAAGGTTGGGTTGGCTGAAGCAATTTCTTAAGATAACGACAACATTTACTGCATCAATAGACCCTCCATTTCGTTAAAGATGTCTCTGTTGCATGTGACATTGTTTGGTAACATTTCACCCACTGTAGAATTTCTTTCAAAATGAGTCAGTCCTCTCAAACCCTGCCACTGCTTTATCTACTAAACTTTATTCTAAATCCTTTGCTGTATTTTCAACAACATTCACGGCATCTTCACCAGGACTAGATCCATCTCAAGAAACCATTCTTTTAATGCTCATGCATAAGAAGCAACTTATCTGTCCAAATTTTATCATAAGATTGTAGCAATTCAGTCACATCTTCAGCTCTACTTCTAATTCTAGTTCTCTTGCTATTTCTACCACATCCTAGTGACTTCCTCCATTGAAGTCTTGAACCCCTCAAAGTCATCCATGAGGGTTGGAATCAACTTCTTCCACATTCCTGATAATGTTAACACTTTGACCTTCTTCCATGAATCACTAGCATTCTTTCTGGCATCAAGAATGGTGAATCTTTTCCATAAGTTTTTCTATTTACCCAGCTCCATCAGAGGAATCACTATGTATGGCAGCTTAGCCTTACAAAACGTATTTCTTAGATAATAAGACTTGAAAGTTGAAATTACTCCTTGATCCATGGGCTGCAGAACGGATGTTGTGTTACCAGGCATGAAAATAATATGAATATCCTTGTACATCTCCATCATAGTGCTTGGGTGACCAGGTGCATTGTCAATGAGCAGTAATACTTTGAAAGCAATCTTTTTTTCTGAGCAGATCTCAACAATGGGCTTAAAATAGTCAGTAAACCATGCTATAAACAGACGTGCTGTCATCCAGGCTTTATTGTTCCATTTATAGAGCACAGGCAGAGTAGACTTAGCATAATTTGTAGAGCCCTGGGATTTTTGGAATGGTAAATGAGCACTGGTTTGAATTTCAAGTCACCAGTGGCATTAGCCCTTAGCAAGAGGGTCAGCCTGTCCTTTGAAGCTTTGAAGGCAAGCACTGACTTCTCCTCACTAGCTGTGGAAGTCCTAGATGGCATATTCTTCCAACAGAAGGCTGTTTTGTTTACATTTGAAAATCTGTTTGTTAGTGTCACCATCTTCATCAATGGTCCTTGCTAGATCTTCTGGATAACTATCTGTAGCTTCCACATCAGCATTTTCTGCTTCATCTTGCACTTATGCTGTGGACATGGCTTCTTTTCTTAAACCTCATGAACCAACCTCTTGTAGCTTCCAGCTTTTCTTCTGCAGCTTCCTCACCTCTCTCAGCCTTCATAGAACTGAAGATCAGTAAGGTCTTGCTCTAGATTGGGCTTTGGCTTAAGGGAATGTTGTGGCTGGTTTGATCTTCTATCTAGAACTTTCTCTGTATCATCAATAAGGCTGTTCACTTTCTTGTAATTTATGTGCTCACAGTAGTAGCACTTTCAATTTCCTTCAAGGACTTTTCCTTTGGATTCATAACTTGCCTTTTTAGTGCAAGAGGCCTAGCTTTCAGCCTGTCTTGGCTTTCAGCATGCCTTCCTCACTAAGCTTAATCATTTCTAGCTTTTGATTTAAAGTGAGAAATGGGTGAATATTCCTTTCACTTGAATACTTAGAGGTCACTATAGGATTATTAATTGGCCTAATTTCATTATTGTTGTATCTGAGGGAATAGGGAGGCCTGAGGAGAGGGAAAAAGAAAGGGAAATAGCTATTCAATGGAGCAATCAGAACATATAGAAATTTATCACTTAAGTTCACCATCTTATATAGGCCCAGTGTGTGGTGCCCCAAAACAATTACAGTTGACCTTTGGACATCACAGGTTTGAACTGTGTGGGTCTACTTATATGCAATTTTTTCAGCCAAACATTGATGGAAAATATAGTATTCACAGGATGCGAAACTTGCATATATGTAGGGCTGACATTTTGCATATATGAGTTCTGCAGGGCTGATTTCAGGACTTGAATATGTTCAGATTTTGGTATATGCAGGGGTCCTGTAACTAATTCCCCTTGTATTCTGAGGGACAACTGTACAATAGTTACATCAAAGGTCATTGATCACAAATAACCATAACAGGTATAATAGTAACAAAGTTTAAATTTTGTGAAAATTACCAAAACGTGACACATAGACAGGAAGTAAGCATATGCTATTGGAAAAATTGCACTGATAGACTTGTACTTGCTCCACATAAGTTTGTCAGAAACCTTCAATTTGTTAAAAAAAAAAAAAAAAAAAAAAAAAAAAAAAAAAAGTCATATCTGCAAGGAGCAATAAAGGGAAGTGTAGTAAACAAAATGTGCCTGTATATCAATAAGAGGGATACCAGTTAGTGAACTGCTAGTTCAAAGGGTATGACTATTTACAACTTTGATAGATTATTAAAATACTTCTCAAAAGGTGTTTCCAATGTATCTGTACGCCTCTTTTCTTGTACCCTTTGCCAACATTGGATGTTATCAATCTTTTAATTTTTCTGCCAAATCAATGGGTAAATAATGCTCTCCTGTTATATTTCATTTCCTTAATTAGAACCTGAGATTGAGCAATACCTTGTGTTTATAGGTCAGCTTTAATATTTATTCTTCTGTGGACTGCCTTTTCACATCCTTTGACTAGTTTTCTTTTTTTATTTTTAATTGTTTTATAGGTTTTATTCCCACAATGTATGTTAGGTATATTCCTTTGTTGTACATGTTTGTAACCTCCAAGTCTTTTAATTTTGTTTAGAATATCTTTTATAATATCTGTTTTTTTTTGTTTTTTTTTTTTTTTGAGATGAAGTCTCACTCTGTCATCCAGGCTGGAGTGCTGTGGTGCGATCTTGGCTCACTGCAAGCTCCCCCTCCCGGGTTCACGTCATTCTCCTGCCTCAGCCTCCCGAGTAGCTGGGACTACAGGTGCCCGCCACCATGCCTGGCTAATTTTTTGTATTTTTAGTAGAGACGGGGTTTCACCATGTTAGCCAGGATGGTCTCGATCTCCTGACCTCATGATCCACCCGCCTTGGCCTCCCAAAGTGCTGGGATTATAGGTGTGAGGCACCACGCCTGGCCACTAAATACCTTTTATCGTTCAAACATGTCATACGCTTTTCTCTTTATTATAATTTTTGATTTAGGACTCTATTCTGTATTTTTTTTAAATTATGTAAATATTGTTCATGGCTGGGCCAAGAAATATGCTGTAATCACATTTTCATTCTTATATAACTTTTTCCAGGGGTTAATTATTGCTTTATGATTTTTCCTTTGTATCTAGCTTTATTTTCATTTTCTACAAGAACTCTGTAAAGTAGTGGACTTCTCAATACAAAATTTCACGTCATCAAACCTGTCACATATGATAGTGTTTTTACTTCTTTTCTGGAGAAGTACCTCTTCGATCACAGTGTCTTACTTTATAGTGTGGACTGGAAGCTCTCTAGGTACAGCTATTATTTAGTACAGCTGTAATTTTTGGTCATTCCTTTCTCATCCTGGTAACTGTGTTTTCATCTATCTTATATTGGATCTGATTTTCTGAATCTCATGTTTGCCCTGTTTTTCTAGGTACAGCTTCTGGTATCTGTTGGTATTTTTAATGTGATTGACACAAATTAGAAAATTAATTTAGAGAGGAATTTTACATTTTTCTCATATTGGATTTTCCTACCAAGAACATGGTTAATCTTCTGTATATTTAAATAAAAAGTTGTATAAGAGTGTTGAAGTTTTTGTTAATTATTGATATTGCATCCTTTTTGTTACAAATGGGGCTTTTTTCTTTATATAACTGACTTTTTGCATGTAAAAATATAAATATTTTTATATATGTACATATATTTTCGCATTTAAGTAACATGCTGCATTTTAGGCTGATTATATGTTCACATATGTATTAAGATACAATCAGGCCGGGCATGGTGACTCACGCCTGTAATCCCAGCACTTTGGGAGGCCAAGGCGGGTGGATCATGAGGTCAGGAGTTTGAGACTAGCCTGGACAACATGTTGGAACCCTGTCTCTGCTAAAAATACAAAAATTAGCTGGGCGTCTTGGCGTGTGCCTGTAATCCCAGCATCTTGGGGGGCTGAGACAGGAGAATTGCTTGAACCCTGGAGGCAGAAGTTGCAGTGAGCCGAGATCGCGCCATTGCACGCCAGCCTGGGCGACGGAGCAAGACTCTGATGGGGAGGTGGGGGGCGGGGGGACAAAAAAAATCATAGCATAGCTACATTTCCTAACATTTTAGTTTGTAGCATGAATACTTTAACTTTAGTAGTATATAATTGGTATGTAGTCTGTGGCTCACGCCTGTAATCCCAACACTTTGGGAGACCGAGGTGGGTGGATCACTTGAGGTCAGGAGTTGGGAGACCAGCCTGGCCAACATGGCGAGAACCTGTGTTTACTAGAAATACAAAAATTAGCTGGGCATGGTGGCACATGCCTGTAATCCCAGCTACTCATGAGGGTTAGGTGGGAGGATTGCTTGAGCCTGGGAGGTGGAGGTTGCAGTAAGGCAAGATTGTGCCAGTGCACTTCAGCCTGGGCGATGGAGCAAGACCCTCAAAAATACCGCATGTTCTCACTCATCGGTGGGAATTGAACAATGAGCAATTGAACATCGGTGGGAATTGAACACTTGGACACAGGAAGGGAATCATCACACACTGGGTCCTATTGTGTGTGGTGGGGGAGGGATAGCATTAGGAGATATACCTAATGTAAATGATGAGTTAATGGGTGCAGCACACCAACATGGCACGTGTACATATGTAACAAACCTGCACGTTGTGCACATGTACCCTAGAACTTAAAGTATAATAAAAAAAAAAAAGAAAGAAAAGAAAAGAAATGCTCATGATTTCTAATCTCAACTTTTATATTGTATTAAATAGATTTCTAGCTGAGATAACTGGTATATTAGTTTAAGAAGGACATTGGAAAATAAAGTAAAACGATGGATATAGAATGAACTATAACTGGGAAGGTATGATAATCTGTATTTAGGAGGATCTTAAATATCAGACATAAGAATTTGTAATTCATATTGAGTACTGAGCCATAAAAGACATGTGAGCAATTTAGAAGAAAATGTATTTAGGTGAATTACTCTAAAAACGTGGAATGAAAAAATTTTTCAATATTTAACATGGAGTTGACTTTCTAAAACGTGCTGTTTCTTTTTCTTTTCTCTGCTTAGGAAATTGAACTTAGCTCATTAAGGGAAGCTTTGTCTTTCGTGTCATTAATTGATGGATATTATAGATTAACTGCAGATGCACATCATTACCTCTGTAAAGAAGTAGCACCTCCAACAGTGCTTGAAAATATACAAAGCAACTGTCATGGCCCAATTTCGTGAGTAATACAGACTTAAAAGTAAATTTTTAGAAAAGTAAATGATATATTTACAAAGAAGATTTAACAGAGTGATACATGTATGTTTAGGAAAAAACATTAATTTGACAAGTTTTTTTAAACAAAAGGCTATTTGCAATCAGATTACATAATAATTAGAATTATTTAGTATATAATTTACCATCTGTATCCCAATCTATAATATTTATAACTTGTACAAATTTAACATTTGTTAATCATGCCTATGTGTGATTCGCTCCTGAATGTTAGTAAAAAAGACCTCCAATTTATGTGTTATTAATTTTAAAATACTGTAAGGAAGCCACAGTGCAAAATTTGAAAATGCTTTATTTTTGGATAGTCCATCTTCTACTGAAAGGTTCAAACACAAGATGTATATGATGTCCACATTTCTAGACTAGTGCTATGTAGAACTTTCTGCAGTGATGAAAATATTCTGTATCTGTGCTGTGTAACACAGTAGCCACTAGCTACATGTGGCTGTTTAGCATTTGAGATGTGGCTAGTGCAACCGAGGAACTGAATTTTAATTTCTTTACATTTAAATAGCTACATGTGGCTAGTAACTATCATATTGGCTCACATGGTTGTAGATCCTTATTTTAATACTGGGTAAAGCCAGCTATCATGTATAACATGCATAACATCTATTTAGCTTAAGTCCTAATGATCTCTTAGGTGGGATGTGGTTTATATTGACAGCAGATTTGAATAACTTGAGCAAAGGGAAAATCTGGGATCGTGAGCATACTATGTTCTTTGCATTTAACCTACCCCTAAGTATTTGAGAAAATACATCTTGGGTAATATAAAGACTTGATTTAGTCTATGCTTAATATTTTTTTAGTAATGAATATGGTTGCTATGAAAAAGTTGTACTACTTGAACTTCGTCTGTAATTTACATGTTAAATATTTTTAAAACTCCTTGCCTTTATTCATGTATCTATAAATTCATTCAAACATTCTTTTATTTATATTTACTGAGTAACTACTATGTGCAAGCATTGGTTTATATATTAGAAATATGGTGATAAGTGAAACAGAATGATTCTTGCTTTTGTATAGATTAGATTTTGCTTTTCTTTCAAGGTGTGCAGCTTCAGAAAACAGAAAAGTTTAAAAATCAGTTGTCTTTGTCAGTTGCCATGGTTCTTCTCTTAGACTTTGTTATCATACTAAATAATAAAATCATGCATTCAGATTTCTATGTCAGTAACTGCTATTGTAGAAGAGATATAAATATTTTCTGACATATTATCTTTATGGTTAAATGAAGTTTTCAGAGAATATGATTTTAAAAATACTAACTTTGTAATCAGCAGGCAGAAAAATCAAATGAACAAATTGTTCTTTGTGATTTTGTCTTATTTTTATTGGTTTTTAAAGCTATATAATTGTCCCTTGAAATGGTTTGAACTTATGCAAAATAGCTTGGTACTTTGATTTTTTCCTTTGAAGGATTATTGCTAAACATATAAAGTAGAGGAGACAGTTCTGACAGTTTTAGATTTGACTTTTGATTTTTTTAGATGACACTTGGTCATAATGTTATGGTGCTTGCTATATTATCATTCAAATTGCTTCTTCTTTACCTTTAGGATGGATTTTGCCATTAGTAAACTGAAGAAAGCAGGTAATCAGACTGGACTGTATGTACTTCGATGCAGTCCTAAGGACTTTAATAAATATTTTCTGACTTTTGCTGTCGAGGTTAGTATGTCACACTTATTAATAGTAACACTTTAGTTCATTTAATTTCCTCTGCATATTATTTACCATATTTCCTTTTTAATACTCAGAATTATAGCTATATATAGGATATAACTAGTATAATGCTTAATTTCCTCAGAGATTCTGTACAAATAAATAAGATACAATTCCCAGGGTTTATATAAAAATATAAAATAATTTATGTCTATCTTTTTATTTTGCATTTATTTTATTTTCTGATGTTTTGGTGTTACCAGTGTGTCAAAAGGTATTTCATCAAGTGTCTTGATGTTTCTTTTTTTTTTGCAAAACTGGAAATCCCTGCACATGATGTAGAACAAAATAAATTGGAAGTAAATTTTCTGTTTATTAACAGTGGTTACAGAATTACAGGAAACAGAATTAGAGAAAAATAGGGCAATAACAAAGAAACAGACACATTGAAGCACTTTTAACTGGTGATTTTCTAATATTAAGAATAGTGGTCTACAATGCATGTTTTAAAGGTAAAACCCCACTGTTAATACAGATCATCTTGGATCTCATCTGTGATTATTTACTATCACTTATGAGGCAATTTCATAGTATAAATCCTAAGAACATTTATAGAAGCTTCCAAATTTATCTTGATTTTTAAAAATAGAGAAAATAAGAATTTTGTTATTCAATTATTTTAATTTTTATAAAATGCAACTTATATTTGGCATATGTAGAGGGTAGATTACAGAAAGTAGGTTACACCATCACTTCACCTTTGTGTAAAACTGGTAATCTATCCTAATTTCAAAGTATCCTCTTACTATAACAGATAATAGTACATTATATTCAAGTATCAATTCAAAAACTATTTATATATATTTTATGTTCACTGTATGTGCCAATCCTAATATGAGAGCTATATATTAGAGAGTTTATGCTACAGCCCTATCTTCAAGAAACTTATCTACTGGACAAACAAAAATTTTCAAGTATACAAAAAATTCTAAATCGAACATGTAATTATCTAGCATAGGCAAATATAGACAGTAACAGACAGGTTTACAATTATTAAGAAAGGTTGGCTGGGTGTGTTGGCTCACGCCTGTAATCCCAGCACTTTGGGAGGCCAAGGCGGGTGGATCACGAGGTCAAGAGATCGAGACCATCCTGGCCAACATGGTGAAATGGTGAAACCCTGTCTCTACTAAAATTATAAAAATTAGCTGGGCATGGTGGTGCACACCTGTAGTCCCAGCTACTTGGGAGGCTGAGGCAGGAGAATCGCTTGAACCCGGGAGGCAGAGGTTGCAGTGAGCCAAAATTGTCCCACTGCATTCCAGCCTGGCAACAGAGTGAGACACTGTCTCAGAAAAAAAAAAAACAAAAACAAGAAAGGTCATTTGGCATAGGAAGAACTTGATTGACCTTGAGGTATTGGTAGATTTTATATAAATGTTTCTGAGTAGAATGAATATGTTTATAAAATGCACCTTAAAAAAATAGATGAACAAGTTCATAATATAGTGCATAAGACAAATATTTAAAAACTGCAAAATATTAAAAATGTCATATTAAAGATAATTATACAAATACAATGGTGGTGCAGTGGAATGTCTGAATATTCACCTTTGCTTGTGCAATGAGGTGAGCATGAGAGAGGACCTCTTAGAAAAAGTGGTACTTGAACTGAGTTTTGATGAATGAATAAAGAAAGGTTCACTGCTCAGAAGAAGTGGGTATACATTCTTAGGTAGAGAGATAGCATGAAGAGTTATCAAGGCATGAAGCAGCATGGCATTTGCTTGAAGTGATTTATTTAATATGGCTGGAACATAGGTTGTATGTTGGCAGTGGCAGGAGCTTAGATTGGAGATGGAGGCAGAAACCAGCTCATGGAAGGCTCTATATGCTACATTTGTTTTAGGCTTTATCTTACAAATGATGGGAAGCTATTAAGGATGGTATTACTATTGCTATTAATTATCATTGCCTTCTTCCATACGTTTTCATAAAATCAACTTTTAAACCACTTTTATAGGCTGAGAAATTGTAAATTGCCCTTTTGAGGAACTAAGTACTTCTATTACTATACTGGCACTACATTGGATTCTTGGTTCAAATGTTTATTCCGTTGCTTGTTCTTGTGATATCATTTTGTCAGAATAATCACTATGATGTCCATTGTGAGTATCCCTCCCTTTCTTTATAATTAAACTTATACAGCGAGAAAATGTCATTGAATATAAACACTGTTTGATTACAAAAAATGAGAATGAAGAGTACAACCTCAGTGGGACAAAGAAGAACTTCAGCAGTCTTAAAGATCTTTTGAATTGTTACCAGATGGAAACCGTTCGCTCAGACAATATAATTTTCCAGTTTACTAAGTGCTGTCCCCCAAAGCCAAAAGGTAAGATAATTTTCTAGTTATTTTAAAATTACTGGTCATGGATTGTGTATGTGGTGTGAAGTATCTTTAGTACATTGATTTCAAAGGATATATGAAAGAAGCAGCTCTAAAAGTTAATTTTATCTTATTCTGTTGTACAAGCATCATCAAATAAGATTGTTTACTTTGGTTTTGGTGGTCTAGAAGTGACTTGAAGTTCAATTATTCTAAAATGAGATTTTAAACGTAATAATTTTGTGGTATGATGTCATTTATTGAACTAGTAAGATCTCACTACTAAATTCTCATGTTGTTTTAAGTAAAAATTTTCATATGCTTTGAGGATTTTAATTGCTGTATTTTAAAAATAAAGATAGTAAAGTTGGAAATTCCTTGAAATAATGAGGCTTACTATTAAAAATTATTAAAATTTCTGAAAAATTGTATGAGTTAAGGAAGTTACTATAATTTTGAATTAATGAAATAACTGGCAGGAATACATCAAAATTCAAATTACATTAGTTAAGAAAGTGATTATAATTTTGAATATATGAAGTAACTAAGAATAATACATCAAAGTTCAATGAGTTAACCCCTAAAATAATTTTCTATTATAAAAAAGAACAATGAGGAGTTATTAAGCATTTCTTATATATAGAACACATTTCATTTTACTCCTCCTTGGCGCAATTCATATTTTCAGTGTATTTTGATGTGATATATATGTATTTTATTTTTTCAGATAAATCAAACCTTCTAGTCTTCAGAACGAATGGTGTTTCTGATGTACCAACCTCACCAACATTACAGAGGCCTACTCATATGAACCAAATGGTGTTTCACAAAATCAGAAATGAAGATTTGATATTTGTAAGTCATTAGATACTGATTACTGTCTTTTTTGTCCTTTTAAAACAACATCTGTTTTCTTGATTTACATTCATGTGTCATTTGGAATTATTTTGTTTTAACATATGCAAATTTAGTTGTGATTTAAGTATTTTTCCTTTGAAAGATATACCAACCTTGTGTTAGATGTTAGCAAAATTAATTATCTTAATTATCCTAAGAATGGAATCTTAATTTTCTTTTTGGAAATTTAAAAATGATTCTTCACAAAAATTAAAAATTAAAAATATACAAAGACCTATATTGTTACTCTCAAGTTATCAAGAAAATAAGGGAAATTCAAGGGGTTAAAAATAAAGAAGAAACTGAGACAAAAATCCAGCCATCTCTCAGTGTCCATGAGGGATTGGTTCCAGGACTACCCATGGATACCAAAATGTGAGGATACTTAAGTGGAACCTGTGGGTATGAAAAGTTGGCCCTCCATATACACGGGTTTTACATCCTATGAACACTGTATTTCTTTTAAAAAGTAACTAGTAATTATTTTTAAAAATTATTTATTTTTTAGAGGAGGACTTGCTCTGTCGCCCAGGCTGGAGTGCAGAAATACTATATTTTCCATCTGAGTTTCCTTGCAGATGCAGAACCTGCTTTGCCAGTACAGAGGGCCCACTGGATTTATTGAAAAATATCCACACATAAATGGACCTGTGCAGTCCAAACCCATGCTGTTCAAGAGTCAACTGTAATCCATAAGATCTGATAATTTGGCTGCCAGGTGGTGAGACTGGTGATCAGCCACATTTATCAAGGGGGTTAAGACTTAAAAGCAATTTAAAAGGGCCAGGTCTCAGACCTGCACAAGGCAAGGAGTTAAAAGTGAGACTATCCCTGAATAAAACTAGGACCCTTAAGTAAATACATCCTCAGTAAAACAATATATAGAATGTGAAAAATTCACCCACTGGCAAGCAGAGAAGAAAAGGAATTTTGTCATTTTTAATTGGGTTTCTAGTGAGGAAAAGCAGTCTCTCCTAAGAATTTGTCATCACAAGCTTTTGAATTTGGGTTTCATTATACTACCTACATAGACTGAGAAACTCTAAATTAAATGTGGTCCTCTCCTAATATTGTGTGGTGCTTAGAAGAAACAAAAAAATACTCTTAACCTAGGCAACCCATGATTCCCACAGATAAAACCATTCCAAACATGAGCTTTTAATAGAAAATTTAGAAGCATACAAGGAAATAATGCAGGATTAAGTAAGAGTCAGTAGACCAACAAACATCAAAATTAGAACTCCAGGAACTTCCTATCACAGAATTTTCAGATACAGACTATAAAATACATATACATGTTTAAAGATAGAAAAGGAATTGAAACCATGGAGAAATAAGACATTGTTTTAACAAACAAAAAAGATTTCAGGAAAACATAGAAATGATAAATAATCGTCACTGACATTAAAACAGAATATACAGGATGAAAAGGAAATTACTTATAGCTGAAGAGAGATGTGAACTGCAAGCTAGATCTGAAGAAATTATTAAGAATGTAGGGGTTAGGGAGAAAGAAATGGGTTATATGAAAGAGGGATTAAGGGGCGTTAGGCAGAATGAGAAAGAACAACTGATATCTGAGCTCTTTAAGGAGACAAGTCCTCATGTGAATAATAGGAAACAGAGTGGCCAGGTAACTTGACTAACATTACAAAACTAATAAATAGTAGACCTTGGATTTGAACACAAGCAGCGTTACTTCAGAGTGCAGGCTTTCAACAATTACTTTGTAAAGATATGCAAGAAATACTAGTATTAGTAGTAATAGCTAATACTTAATGCACATTTACTATGTGTCATGGACTGTACTAAGGGCTTTTTGTATTTATTCACTTACTGTTTATAACAATCCTATGGGAAAATAGTTACTTTTCTCATTTTTCAGATGAAGAAACCAAGACAGCTGCAGCACAGAGATTAAATAGCCTGTACAAGGTCATAAAAGTGGTAATAAGAAAAAGTCAGATATTCTGCCTCTGCAGACCACATTCTCTATTGTACTAGTAGGAAAGGCAAACAAAATGATTCTCATGTAAGCAAATGTAGGTAAACACTGACTCTGTTTTTAAAAAGTGATAATTATAGCCCATTCAGGAGATTTCAAAACCAAGTAGAGCCAAAATACACTTAATTCATTAATCCTTGTTTTCTGTCTCTCATTAATATTTAAGGAAGCAGAATAAAAGAATTAATTTGGAGTCTCAAATCTGGATTTAGACTCTAAGGAAAATACTTGCTTATGGATTAAAAAAAAATTCTTCCTCATTGAACGTATTTTCTTGTTCCTACTTTGTTCTCCATCTTTACTCATTCTTTACTTTTACCTTTTTCTCTTGAAGAATGAAAGCCTTGGCCAAGGCACTTTCACAAAGATTTTTAAAGGCATACGAAGAGAAGTAGGAGACTATGGTCAACTTCATGAAACAGAAGTTCTTTTAAAAGTTCTGGATAAAGCACATAGAAACTATTCAGAGGTGTGTATGTTCTTTAGTTCATGTAGTTTATGCTGTTTAAAGATGTACTCTCATATTCATACAACATACTCGTGTGCAGCTTTTCAAAATTGTAAGTTTTAAATGTATCAAGGACTTCTCTGAGGATATATTCTTGTGGGGCTATAGAATTACAGGGTTTGAAAATTACAGGATTATAAAAAATTAATTCCAAACTAATTATGTTTAGCATGTTAGGAGTGTTATTACATTTCTGCATATACTGTGGCCATGATTTTCAAACTTGGCTCCCCAGAGCTTTATGGGTTACACAGAGGTTCTTCTACAATTTCATTTATTTAAAAAAAAAAAAAAAAGTTTCAAAGGCACTGTACTAAGGAACATACTTAGTGAAATCTGGATGCCTCTGGGCATCATCCAGAGATGCTAGCTGGCAGACCCTGTGGCCAGTTGCCAGAGCTCCGAACACAGCAAGATATGATACTTACAATATCTTAAAGGGTGTTAGTGGAAGATGATGTGAAAAGTTCAAGCCAAAGAGTTGTTCTAATCCAGAACACCACAGTATTGGTGATCGTGATTCACTAAACAGTCATACCCAGTGGTTTTAGTCAATGTCTAGTGGAATTGGAGTGATGTTAAAACTATGCTAGTGTCCTAACACAGATGTCATGATATTTTATCTGCACATTTTTAATTCTTTAGGAAGTATTATTTAAAGGCTACATCCATCTAACTCAGTTCCCTATATCTATCTCTGATGTCTACCTCTGGTTGTACATCTGTCCTCTATTTCAGGTGTTAAGCATCAAGCCTGTTTGACTGGCATCATTCATGATTCCTGTACCACTCTTGCTGTCTCTCACTTTGATCTCCATATTCCAGACTTACACAGGGGTTTCCTCAGAACGTTGATGGTCATTGCAGGTCCATATAAAGGGACCAAAGCACATTGTATCCTTATCTATAGTCATGCTGAGAGTAGGAGAAAGTGCATCTTTATTATGGCAGAGAGAATTTTCTGAACTGAGTACTTATGGACAACAGTCAAACAACAATTCTTTGTACTTTTTGTTTTTCTTTTCCTTAGTCTTTCTTTGAAGCAGCAAGCATGATGAGCAAGCTTTCTCACAAGCATTTGGTTTTAAATTATGGAGTATGTGTCTGTGGAGAGGAGAGTAAGTAAAACTACAGGCTTTCTAATGCCTTTCTCAGATCATCTATTTTTGTTTATATAGAAAATTCAGTTTCAGGATCACAGCTAGGTGTCAGTGTAACCCATAATTTAACAGGAATTAAATATTTTTGAAACTGAAAACACTGTAGGACTGTTCAGTTATATCTTGTGAAAAAGGAAACCAATGAATAAAGTTAAAAGTAGAAGGTTACAATGCCCAAACAATAGAGTATTATAGGAAACAAATGTCTATAACATTTTGTGTTCATGACAGCAAAAGAGATTATGGCAGGTTCAACATAGCATTGGAATAACTGGCCTTTTCATTACAAACTTCTCTGGAATTATGAAGACAAAGCATATAAATGATACACTTAATTTTTAATGGAACTGACTGAAAATATTGTGTTGATATGATACTAGATATATTTTTTGGTTAAATTTAGGTTGTTCATAGAAACTACTAAAAGTATAAATCATACCCCAAGCTTTAATAGTATACAGGCATGCCTCATTTTATTGCACCTTGCTTTATTGTGCTTCTTAGATATTGTATTTTTTACATATTGAAGGTTTTTGGCAACCCAGTGTCTAGCAACTCTGTCGGCAACAGTTTTCCAACAGCATGTGCTCATTTCATGTCTCTGTGTCACATTTTGGTAATTCTGGCAACATTTCAAACTTTAAAAAAAACCATATGGTGATCTGTGATCAGTAATCTTTAATGCTAGTATTGTAATTATTCTGGGGTGTCTCAAACAGAGAGAATATAAGAAGGCAAACTTCATAGATAAATGCAGTGAGTGCTCTGACTGCTACATCAATGAGCCATTCCTCTGTCTCTCTCCCTCTCCTGGGGCCTCCCTATTCCCCAAGACAACAATATTGAAATTAGGCCATTTAGTAATCCCATAATGGTCTTTAAATGTTCAAGTGAAAGGAATATTCACCCATCTCTCACTTTAAATCGAAAGCTAGAAATGAAGCAGCAAATGTTGATGTGGAAGCTGCAGCAAGTTATCCAGAAGATGTAGCAAAGACCACTGATGAAGATGGCTTAGTGAGGAAGGCATGCTGAAAGCCAAGACAGGCTGAAAGCTAGGCCTCTTGCACTAAAAAGGCAAGTTATGAATCCAAAGGAAAAGTCCTTGAAGGAAATTGAAAGTGCTACTACTGTGAGCACATAAATTACAAGAAAGTGAACAGCCTTATTGATGATACAGAGAAAGTTCTAGATAGAAGATCAAACCAGCCACAACATTCCCTTAAGCCAAAGCCCAATCTAGAGCAAGACCTTACTGATCTTCAGTTCTATGAAGGCTGAGAGAGGTGAGGAAGCTGCAGAAGAAAAGCTGGAAGCTACAAGAGGTTGGTTCATGAGGTTTAAGAAAAGAAGCCATGTCCACAGCATAAGTGCAAGATGAAGCAGAAAATGCTGATGTGGAAGCTACAGATAGTTATCCAGAAGATCTAGCAAGGACCATTGATGAAGATGGTGACACTAACAAACAGATTTTCAAATGTAAACAAAACAGCCTTCTGTTGGAAGAATATGCCATCTAGGACTTCCACAGCTAGTGAGGAGAAGTCAGTGCTTGCCTTCAAAGCTTCAAAGGACAGGCTGACCCTCTTGCTAAGGGCTAATGCCACTGGTGACTTGAAATTCAAACCAGTGCTCATTTACCATTCCAAAAATCCCAGGGCTCTACAAATTATGCTAAGTCTACTCTGCCTGTGCTCTATAAATGGAACAATAAAGCCTGGATGACAGCACGTCTGTTTATAGCATGGTTTACTGACTATTTTAAGCCCATTGTTGAGATCTGCTCAGAAAAAAAGATTGCTTTCAAAGTATTACTGCTCATTGACAATGTACCTGGTCACCCAAGCACTCTGATGGAGATGTACAAGGATATTCATGTTATTTTCATGCTTGGTGACATAACATCCATTCTATAGCCCATGGATCAAGGAGGAATTTCAACTTTCAAGTCTTATTATCTAAGAAATACATTTTGTAAGGCTAAGCTGCCATAGATAGTGATTCCTCTGGTGGATCTGGGTAAAGTAAGTAGAAAAACTTATGGAAAGGATTCACCATTCTAGATGCCAGGAATAGCATTCATGGTTCATGGAAGGAAATCAAAATGGTAACATTAATAGGAATTTGGAAAAGTTCATTCTAACCCTCCTGGATGACTTTGAGGGATATGGTACTTTAATGAAGGAGGTCACTGCAGAGGTGGTGGAAACAGTAAGAGAACTAAGAAGTGGAGCTTGAAGATGTGACTCAATTGCTACAATCTCATGATTAAACCCTGAAAGAATGAGGCGTTGCTTCTTATGGATAAGCAAAGAAAGTGGTTTCTTAAGATGGAATCTACTCCTAGTGATGATGCTGTGAACATGGTGAAATGACAACAAAAGGCTTAGAATATTACATAAACTTGGTTGATAAAGCAGTGGCAGGGTTTGAGAGGACTGACCCTGTAAAGTTCTACTGTGGGTAGAATGCTATGAAACAGCATTGCATGCTACAGAGAAGTCTTTCATGAAAGGAAGAGTCTGCAGTGAATATCATTGTTGTCTTATTTTAAGAAACTGCTGCAGCCACCTGAACTTTAAGCAGCCACCACCATGATCAGTCAGCAGCCATTAACATCAAAAGGCAAGATCCTCCGCAAGCAAAAAGATTACAACTTTCTGAAGGCTCAGATTATCATTAGCACCTTTTTTGGCAATGAAGTATTTTTTAAAAGTATATTCTTTGTTTTTTTTTTTTTAAAGATATAATGCTGTTGCACACTAAATAGACTCCATTATAGTGTAAATACAAGTTTTATATGTATTGGGATACCAAGAAATTAATGACTTGCTTTATTATGGTAGTCTAAAACCAAACTGGTAATATCTTCGAGGTATGCCTGTATTTTAGTGCCTCACAAAGTTTACATTCAAGAAAATTGTTTATATAATTCCCTATTTTCCACTAGTAATGCAGATTAAATCCACATCTACACTTGTATAACATTTTTTCATATCTTTGAAAATTGATAGTATTTTCAAAAGCAGTGGTTTGGAACCTGTTATATGGAGGTATCTGAGAGGCTCCTGTGGACCACGAAGGAGTCCAGGATTGTTTTTGGAAGCCAACACTTGTTTTTCTGGAAAAATATGTTTTATATATATATTTTTTTAAAAAAAGTTTTAAAGATAAAGCAGCACAAAACATTTTTGTATTTTTTCAGAATAAATTAAAAGATTAAATGGAGCTAGAACTCAAATTCTCCTTTATGTCTATAATACTATAGACATTGTTAGTAATTTTTGTGTGTAGAAGAACTTCAGGAAGGTTTGAATGTCTAAAATGTTATGTGGATGATAAATTAAGTGAGAAATTTTCATTTTTTTTAAAAAAACAGCCATAATTCAGTACTAATATATAAAGGTGTGCTGGTATATTATATATTATACATTTATGTTATATATATATAAAAAATAACATATAATTGTTTAGACTCCTACTATTGCTGTTGTAAGTAAACTAAAAACCAAAAATATAATGCTGTGTATCCACTAAGTTTTCTTTGAAGTTTTGAGTTTTGCCTAATTTACTTTCTTTACCTATAATAGTCACATGTAAGTATATGAAGATTTAAATTACATATATTTAATTAAATTTATACTTAAGCCTTATTATTACTTATATTTTAATGCAGATATTCTGGTTCAGGAGTTTGTAAAATTTGGATCACTAGATACATACCTGAAAAAGAATAAAAATTGTATAAATATATTATGGAAACTTGAAGTTGCGAAACAGTTGGCATGGGCCATGCATTTTCTAGTAAGTAGTATATCCATTTTATCAAAAAGACACTGTTTTATTTTATAAAACAATATACAAATTATCTTTACCTGGAAACAAAAAATAAATCTGTAATTGGATGCCAATTCATGTAAAACAGTCTGTGTTAGGTGATAAAAGAGATTACTTTAGGCATATGTTTATGTATGTAAAATCACTTTTGAAAAAAAGTTTTGTCATCCCATCAATATCTTAGAACTACTAATAGACAGTCTGTATTTTGTGTCTTTTGGATTTAGAAAATTCAACCAAAAATTATGCAGCAACATGTGCTTCTCTATTTTTGGGCCATTGTACATTATGGTCCATGAGAAAGCAGCGTTGACAGAGAAGAGTACTAGAGGGCCTGCCAGTGATCAGACCCCTCAGGGTGCCACCTATGTTCTGCTGCAGAACTGAAGTAGTGTTTCTTAATGTCAGCTCCCATCCAGAAACACAAACCATCTCAGCCTTAGAACTCACATTAAGTGGCACTGGGTAGTTTTAATTTATTCATTTCATCACAAGCATAGATTATTGTGTTATTTAAAATGTAAAACAGGAAGCATAGTTAGGAGTCATAAATTTCCTTTTTTCTCAATGCATGCCTCCAAATTAATATTTATTATACTATCTTATATATTTTTCTTCTTTAAATCTGTTTTGGGGGCTTGAACTACTAAATGCTCAAATATTTGTGGATTGATATTTGAATATATGTGCGTTTAACTCTAATAGGAAGAAAACACCCTTATTCATGGGAATGTGTGCGCCAAAAATATTCTACTTATCAGAGAAGAAGACAGGAAGACAGGAAATCCTCCTTTCATCAAACTTAGTGATCCTGGCATTAGTATTACAGTTTTGCCAAAGGACAGTAAGTTCTAGAGGGATTATATATAATGTTACTAAACTTTACTTGGGCAGTGGTGTAAAGAGCATGTTGTTAATTTTCCTTGAACTCCATTTAATTCATATGTTCCTGATTAATAATAAAAGTATCTATCACTTTTAGCCATTTAAATTGTTAGTTAAATCTTAGTCTCTATTTTTCTTTCTTATAAGCATATAACTATGGACTGTGAGGTGATTTTTTAAAAACAGTTTTAATCTCTATATATGAAGGATAGGATTTTATCTATTTTTAATATGAGGTTTTCTAATATTCCTTGAGCCACAAGTACATTTTCTAAATATTTTTTTCTTCTCATCACTAAATAAAAATTTATCTAGCCTGAGATCTTAGGACTTTTTTCTACCCTCTGTGAAGAAATTAGTTTAATTATCCAGCTAATTCTGACTTTTTAAAACCTTAAAAAACTTTCATTTGTGTTTGTTAATCTTTACTACTTAACACAGTGGGTTAAAAATACAAATTTCAGTCAGATAGTTGAGAGGGGTTTTTTGGGGGGTCTAGATAATTATAAATGAATTTTGTTATCTTAGCTAATTTGTCTAATTGGATGTTCCAAATTTAGATTCTAAATTGATCAATTTAAGCCAATAGTACATAATGACTTATCTGACAGTGAAGACAGTGATAATTGGGCAGTAGTACAAGAGTATGGCACAAAATTCTTACAGGGTCTTACATCTGGTATTCTGGGAAATTTTATCCTTTGGAATCAGAAGTGAAGATGGAAAAAAATGTATTCATATGGTGAACGTAGTTTTCAGTCAATCAATTTGTCTGTCTATGTCAGAATACTAGAAAGTAGGGTTATATTGCTGCTTCCTTTCTTGAATACAGTCCTTCTGGTGGAATCAAAGACCACAGAAACTTTGCTTGAGAAATTCCACGATTTGAGCAGAGCCCACCTGTATCAATTCCATATACCTAGAATATTTTGGTGCAATTTAGCCATGCCTCAGCTATAAACGCTTGTTGGTCCTTGGTTTTTTTTATCATCTGCAAGTGAGAATTGCCAAGGCTATTAAATCAGTAGAACATCTCTGAATGATGTAACATTACCTTATGAAGAAATACCAAAAAGTATCATGGGACAATTTTAGGATAAACTATATTAAAAAAAAAAGATTTGGCCAGGCGCAGTGGCTCATGCCTGTAATTCCAACCCTTTGGGAGACTGATTGTTTTATCACTTAAGCCCAAGAGGTCAAAGCATAGTGAGCTGCAATTGTGTCACTGCACTCCAGCCTGGGTGACAGAGTGTCACCCTGTCTCAAAAAAAAAACTTTTTTTTTTGAAGGTAAAACTAATGAAAAATGGTATGCCAGTTGAGACACTATGGTTTAATGGAAAGATTAATTGATTCAGAACTCACTGTACAGGATTCTAATTCTGTCTCTGCTGCTAACAAATTGTGTGGCTTCGGGCAGATTACTTAATCATGTGTCTCCATGTTGTCATCGTTGAAGATGAGATATTGAACTAGATGACCTTGAAGGTCCCTTCTGGCTCTTAAGCTTATGCAGTCATGTGCACTTACACATCCACCCCCTCCAAAATACAGAAAATAGACCTGATTATTCAAATGATTTGAACTTTAAAGCTATTTACATATAAAAGATTGGTTTACTTGTGAATTATTTAACCCTACTCTGTTCTTATCATTTAAAAGTTCTTCAGGAGAGAATACCATGGGTACCACCTGAATGCATTGAAAATCCTAAAAATTTAAATTTGGCAACAGACAAATGGAGTTTTGGTACCACTTTGTGGGAAATCTGCAGTGGAGGAGATAAACCTCTAAGTGCCCTGGATTCTCAAAGAGTAAGTTTATATATAGACTAAGTTAGAATTACTCTATCTCTGAACTTTCATATTACTTTCACATGATTTGTATTTTTTAGCCCATCTAATTTTTAAAAGAAGGTTGGTGTGGCATTACACAATTTATTCTCTTTGTGGTTCTTTAATTATAGAAGCTGCAATTTTATGAAGATAGGCACCAGCTTCCTGCACCAAAGTGGGCAGAATTAGCAAACCTTATAAATAATTGTATGGATTATGAACCCGATTTCAGGCCTTCTTTCAGAGCCGTCATACGAGATCTTAACAGTTTGTTTACTCCAGGTATGTATTTATGGAGTGATCTTATTGATTTTCCAGCTTTCTATCTTTATTGTATTTAATGAATCATTACTAATTTTTAATTCCTTTAAAACATTTTCTTGATGTCATTTAGGCCCTCTTAATTTCTTATGTTCATATGGCTTTTCATGCTTTATACATATTCTAATCTCCTTGAGTGAGAATTATTTCCTTTTTTAAAAAAAGACCTTTTCTCTTTCAGTAACCTAATTTTAGTTTTCCATTTAATGAGTTGTAAATTATAGTGTTGTTTTTTTTTCTGCTTAAATTGACTTTAAAAAAATCAATTCTTTTTAACGTTTCTCATATTTTATAAATGATTGATTTTCTAAACATGAGCTGTATTTGTTTTGGTTTGTTCTCTCGTTTTTCAAAATACTGAGCTGAAATGCATGTGTTTGACCTATAGGTGCTTTCTACCCTAGTACTACTCACCTTTCTCACAATAAATATCAGTATATTACCTTACTTTATGAATATGAAAACTACTTATTTTGGAAAACAAATATTTATCCTTTGCAAAGTCTCTCTTGAAAGCCTTTCAGATTATGGGTAATGATTAAAGGCTCCCATTAATATAATCTAAATTATTTGAGTTTCCCTGTATCATTTAGTATTTGTAACTCATGATTATTTTGGCCAACTTGAATGTCAGTTTAGTCCAGAGAATTTTATTTGCTAACTTAAGGTGGTAATATTCTTTATTTCTCCAGATTATGAACTATTAACAGAAAATGACATGTTACCAAATATGAGGATAGGTGCCCTAGGGTTTTCTGGTGCCTTTGAAGACAGGGATCCTACACAGTTTGAAGAGAGACATTTGAAATTTCTACAGCAACTTGGCAAGGTAAATTGTCAGAAGTTTTTCAAATAGAGTATAATCCTTTCATTTAGGAAAAACTTAGAGTGTTTCTAAAGTTCACTTTCTACAACATTTTAAAGAGTGCTTGTAGAAAAAAAAAGGTTTGGTTGTCAGATGTTGGAGAAATGCTGTGTTAAATAAACAGCTATCTTTACTGAATGAAGGGGTCCAGCCCCTCCACACCTGTGAGTAATTCTCATCAGGTGGGATGAGAGACTGAGAAAAGAAATAAGAGACAAATTATACAGAAAGAAAAGTGGGCCGGGGGGACCACCACTCAGCATATGGAAGACCCGCACCGGCAGCGGTCTCTGAGTTTCCTCAGTATTTATTAATTACTATTTTCACTATCTCAGCAAGAGGAATGTGGCAGGAGAGCAGGGTGATAGTGGGGAGAAGGTCAGCAAGAAAACATGTGAGCAAAGGAATCTGTGTCACAAGTAAGTTCAAGGGAAGGTACTATGCCTGGATGTGCACGTAGGCCAGATTTATGCTTCTCTCCACCCAGACATCTCAGTGGAGTAAAGAATAATAAAGCAGTATTGCTGCCAACATGTCTCGCCTCCCGCCACAGGGTGGTTTTTCTCCTATCTCAGAATTGAACAAATGTACAATCGGGTTTTATACATTCAGTTCCCAGGGGCAGGCAGGAGACAGTGGCCTTCCTCTGTCTAACTGCAAGAGGACTTCCTCTTTTACTAATCCTCCTCAGCACAGACCCTTCAGGGGTGTCAGGCTGGGGAATGGTCAGGTCTTTCCCATCCCATGAGGCCATATTTTAGACCGTCTCATGGGGAGAAACCTTGGACAATACCCGGCTTTCCAGGGCAGAGGTCCCTGCGGCTTTCCGCAGTGCATTGTGCCCCTGGTTTATCGAGACTGGAGAATAGCGATGACTTTTACCAAGCATGCTGCCTGTAAACATTTTGTTAACAAGGCACATCCTGCACAGCCCTAGCCTTAAACCTTGATTCCATACAACACGTGTTTTTGTGAGCTTAAGGTTGGGGCAAAGTTACAGATTAACAGCATCTCAGGGCAAAGCAATTGTTCAGGGTACAGGTCAAAATGGAGTTTCTTATGTCTTCCTTTTCTACATAGACAGTAACACTCTGATCTCTCTTTCTTTTCCCTACAACTGAAGAACTTTTCAGAGGCTTTAACATGTAATGTGCATGGAACATCTTCAAGAGGATGATGAATTAGGCAGTATTACTCAAATTGACTTGACCAAGAGACTGTTTCTTGGTAGCAGGAGTTCATTGTAAGTGATTCAGTGAAATAGAGAAAGGAATACATAAGCTTTTCTACCTGCCTTTCTGCCTTTAGTCATCTCAGGGAGAATTAATCTTATTGCTTAGGGTCTAGGATTTTGACTGTGCCCTATTCACTAGCAGAGGCTCTGTCTATTAAAAGGTCATACAGTCATGTATAACCTACATATTGTAAGTAAGATACCAGGGAATGCTCAGTTCTTAGTAGGTCCAACCATAGCGGTAAGCTGTCTCTTTTTCACATAAGCTTGCTAGGATAAGGTTCTCACTAGTAAGTACCATATTAATGTTGTCTGTTATTATCAGCTATTCCTAAATTCATATTTTCCTGACATATCTCCAGATGTCATTGATTTTCCTCTTTTCTGGGAACTTACAGCATTTATTGTTTCTTCTATACAACTTAATCACATAGTCCTTTGTTGTTTATTAGATCTTGGTTTTTGTTTGCGTGCCTTTTTTTTCCTTGACTTAAAAAAAGTTCCTTTAGATCCCAACAGATTACTAGGCACACAATTTTGTCATATATTGTCAAAACAATGGAATACATACTGGTATTTAAGAAGTAGACATAACAAAGAATACATCAAAAGATCACTAATTTAGATTAACAAAAGGGAAACAGCAGACTAAATTATAAAGTTATCTTTTCAAGTATTTTTTTCTAGTTATGAAAGTGATATAGATACTGCTTTTAGAGAAATTGGAAGATATTACGATGAAGATACATTCCATTTGTTGTAGTCTCTGAACAACTACACAATTTCTTTCAATAGTGAAACCATTCTATATATACAATTCTATACTTGCTATTTTTCATATATCAAGATTTTCCCATTAATATTCTTTTGAGACATAATTTTAAAAGTGAATACACCATAATTTATTTACAACATTCCCCATTATTGTAATTTTGAGTTAATTTTCTTTTGCTTTTAAAAATTTTTCTGTGAGCTTAAAATTCTTTTAAACATAAGTAAATTGAAGAGAGTCTAAGAAGGGATTTTCAAAATATATGTACAATGAAATATATTTCTTAGTAATTTAGTTTGTAGGAAATGAAAGGAAAATGGTGTAATCATTAGTCAGTCATAGATATTTTAATGTGGATATTTCCTATCTGCATTTAACATCATAATTTTACTTTCATCTTTTGTTTGTTTGAAGTAATTGATGTGTTCCATGGTTTGTCTAGCTATTTGTATTGCCTTATTGAAGCCATTCCTACAAAAATGATTGCATGTCACCTTTTCATTTTATAAAAATTAGCTACTGTATCCCTTTAAGTTATCCTTTTCAATTAGTGGTATGGTGAAAATATTCCAAAGAGGGATGTATATTTAAAATTATTTTCATATTTTTTAAGCCAAGAGAAATAATGGTATATATTTTTTATTTTTAAAAAAATATTTTCATACTGTTTGTAAAAGGAGCCAAGAAACTATTGTGAAATCTTTTCTTTTGCTACTTGAAATCTGGATTGTTTTTGCTTTCTTCCTTTCTCCTCATGCTTATATTCTATTTTTTTAAATTTTAACATGGATTATTTATTTGTGTAATAGCCTTACATGTGGATGTTAACAGTGTAAACAGTACCACATATAACCATCAAGATACCTCAATTAGAATTTATAGGACTAAAATGACAGATTCAGATGGTTTAATTACATTTTAAAAGTTTTCTGAAAAAACTTTTGCAATAAAAAAATAAATTGCCCATCAATAAGTTTGATATCTGTTAAAATGATTTTTGGTTATCTGCAGATGAAGCAAACAAAGTGTATTCTCCAGATTTTTTAGGCACAGTCTGGTGAGATAGCTGCCAGAAAGAACAGAAAGAGTTGTCATTTATCTCTTGTGAGGACAATTTCTGAAAGTTGAATGAGGGTATCTCTTTCTGGGGATGGTCAAAGTTTACTGATCTCTCTTACTGCTTCACGGCAGTACTGCTGGGTGAGGTAGGTTGTTTGTTGCACACCATCACTCTGTAATACATACTGTGGAGCTCTGTCTGTATCTCCCGGCAAACTGAACCATCTCATGATCATAGCATTCATTTCTGGGAACTGCTGACAGGCAAACCCGACAGGACCAGTGGCTAACCCGAGATTCAGATCAGCTGATGTTGGTTTACCCATGTTAGAACATGAGGTGAAGTCCAGTACATCATCTATTAGCTGAAAAGCTATTCCTACATTTTCTTCGGTACTGATAGGAGATCTCATGCGCCACTGGGTCCGGGCATCCTAGAACAGAGACTGCTTTACAACTGTTGGCTATCAGGCTTGCAGTCGTCTTGAAGGTCTTTTCAAGGTAGTGTGCAAATCTTTCATTCTCATTTTCTTTTGACCCAAGCTGAAGAAATTCACCACACACCAAATCTTCAATAACTTGGGTTAAAATAGATATAACAGTTGTATTTCCAATTTGTGCCAGAGCTATAGATACTACAGAAAGAATTAAATCTCCAGCAAGAACAGCCTTCTTTTCACCTCAGATCTTACTGTGTGTTTTTCTATTCGAGAACTTGCATCATCAATAACGTCATCGTGAACCAGACTAGCAGTGTGGATCATTTCTGCAATTAAGGCTGTGGCGCGCTGGCTAGCTAGCATGTGTCAGAAGTTATTATGATGACTATTACATGCTTGGGCCATTAGCACCATAATAATTGGTCGAAAGGCTTTTCCTTTTACATCAGAGTAGTACTCAGACATTTCCTTAAGTTCTGTTGTTGATACAGGCAGTTCCTTTTTTTTTTTTTTTTTGAGAGGGAGTCTCGCTCTGTCGCCCAGGCTGGAGTGCACTGGTCAGATCTCAGCTCACTGCAAGCTCCGCCTCCTGGGTTCACGTCATTCTCCTGCCTCAGCCTCCTGAGTAGCTGGGACTACAGGCGCCGGCCACCACGCCCGGCTAATTTTTTGTATTTTTAGTAGGGATGGGGTTTCACCGTGTTAGCCAGGATGGTCTCGATCTCCTGACCTCCTGATCCTCCCGCCTTGGCCTCCCAAAGTGCTGGAATTACAGGCGTGAGCCACGGCGCCCGGCCCTGTGAGCAGTTCCTTTCTAATGTCCTTGTACAGACCTTTCAAGTCTCCCCAACCGAGTTTGAAAGGATCGGTATTTCTCACCACTGTGTGTTTTAGTGTACGGGGTTGTGTGATGAAACCGTGATATACTATATACATTTGGACAGGCCGGTGTTAAATGCGTCACAAGATTAAAATAGGACAAGTCAAGTCCCTTCCGCCTATGAGCCTGCACTAGGCATCGGCAGCGGCGGCCCCGCCAGGCTCGGGGAGCCGGGCCCAGGTCTCCGCGCCGCTGGCCCCAGGAACAGCCCCGCGCTGCCACGCCACCAGCGCCAGGCCATGGTCTGAAAGTCGTGGCAAGACGGCGGCTCCACCTCTGGCCTGTGATCCTCCTCCTGGGACCTGGAGCCTGAAACCTCTTATGTTCTTTATATCCTTTACCTTCTCACTTCACTCCCAGCTGTTTTGAAATCCTCTTTATTCCTTTTTCCTCCATGGTGCAGATCTGGGATTCAGAAATCAGGATCTTAGTGTGACTACTTTGAAATTATCAGCATCACTCTTAATCTTCTCTGAATATGATTTTTATTTTCCTCTCTTCCCATCATTAGCTAACATCTTGGCCCACATTCCTTGAATACTTTCAGTACTCATTGTTTTCTGGTCACCTTACTTCCTGCCATTATTTTGGATGCCCTTCCAATACTTAAAAAAAAAAAGATTCCTTGGCTTCTCTACCCCAAACTTATGATTACATTAAATGAGTTCATTTTGAATTCTATAATCCCCTGTAATAACCTTAGGAAATTTCCTATCCTGAAATCTCCCTGTCTGACTATAACTTTATAGCCTTTGGCTTTTTTCAACATAAATGCCTTATTTTTGATATCTTTGGTATTGCTAGTGTCTTTCACACTTTCTTCTTATTGGAACGTAAATTGGTGACCCTTTCTGGAGAGCTTCTCATAGAGCAGTTTGTATCAAGGGCCTTTAAATGTTCATATCTTTTAAACTACTTTCACTGGTATCTACAATTATATTACCCCCCCCTTCCCTTGATTATCTGCTTCACTTTTCCTAGTACGGGAACAATACAACTTAGCATTTTTAAAATTGTGCTTCCATCCCTCAAACACTGTAAGAAAAAAATCAAATACAAATCTTGATTGTTTTCATTGAAAACTGATTTCCAACATTGGTTAGGCACTTAAGACTCTTACTGGTTGTATTAGTCTGTTCTCATGCTGCTAATAAAGACGTACCCGAGACTGGGTAATTTATAAAGGAAAGAGGTTTAATTGACTCACAGTTACCCATGGCTGGGGAGGCCTCAGGAAACTTACAATCATGGCAGAAGGCACCTCTTCACAGGGCAGCAGGAGAGAGAATGAGTGCCAGCAGGGGAAATGCCAGACACTTACAAAACCATCAGATCTCATGAGAACTCACTCACTATCACCAGAACAGCATGGAGGAAACCACCCCCATGATTCAGTTGCCTGCCACCGGGTCCCTCCAATGACATGTGGGGATTATGGGGTTTACAATTCAAAATGAGATATTGGTGAGGACAGTGCCAAACCATATCACTGGTAGTTCTTTTACTCTCCCTTATTTGATTTCTTTTCTGGTCCTATCTCAAACTCTTCTGGTTTTCTATCTTAAATCTTTCTTTTCACTGAATTTTTCTTCATCTCCTTCTTCCATAAGAAAAATAGAGGCATTCCAAGTTAAAAGTGAGACTGATTTTTGCCTATCAAAGTGATAAAGATTTATAAAAAGTATAATGACCATCGTTGGCAGAGATGTGATGAAATACACATTTTCCCACTGCTTATTGGAACATCAAATGGTAACCACTGCCAGAGAGCTTCTAATGCAGTGTGTATCAAGGCCCTTTGAAATGTTCTTATCTTTTGAACAGCTATTTAAGTATCCTTAATAGAGATATACACAAATATTTATTTATAAGAATATTATTGCAATGACATGACTGTATTTAAAAAATTTTCTTAGTGTACATTTATGTTTACAATGTTAAAAATTAGTGCATTCATGTGACAATATACAATAATTAAAAATCATTAATTTCAAGGAATATATAGTGGCACTGGAAAATAAATTTTATGAACACATTGTTAAGTAGAGGGAAAGAAGATAAAACTCATTTCCTACTTTTGTTTTCTAAAATATGTTTTGGAATAATTTCTCACAACAGCCTCATGAGATAGACATTTTATAATTCTCCACTTTAAGGAAGAAAAGCCTCATTTTAGGGAGATGTGAATTGTCTATGGTCACAGAGAGAGCAAGTTGTGGATCAATATTCTAGTTCCAATCTGACTTGAGAGTCCTGGGTCTATCCACCTTGTTGTGTGGCCTTCTAAACTGTGTAATTATAGATTTAACTCTGAGCCTACGTGGTCTAGGTTTTTTTAAAAATTGACTTCAAGTATATAAGTGAAAATATAGTCACTTAGAATCTTGTAACTCAAGAACTACATTGTTTTATCCTGTAAGAATGCAATAATATCCAAAATACACTAATTTGATTAATATCAAAAACCTATAATTTATTTAAATGTTATAGCAACTTACCAATTCTATGTAGTTAATGAGTCTTAGGTAAAAGAGTGGATTTCTTTAAAGACATCTTCAAAAAAAAAAAAAAAAAAGAGTAGAGTCATCCCATAGGCTAAAAGTTTCTTACTTCTTAATTTGTTTCGGCTGCTATAACAAAATACCATAGAGTGGGTAGCTTAAACATCAGACATTTATTTCTCTCAATTCTAGGGCCTGGAAAGTCTGAGTTCAAAGTTCTGGCAGGGGTTGGTTTCTGGTGAGGTTTCTTCTTGGCTTGCACATGGCCGTCTTCTTGCTGTGTCCTCACATGGGAGAGATTGCTGTAATGTCTCTTCCTCTTATAAGGGCACTAGCCTTGTCACATGAGGGTTCCACCCTTATAACCTAATTTAACTTTTATCACCTCCTCACAAGGCGCTATCTCCAAATACAGTCATAATGGGGTTAAGACTTATTATATACATTTTGGGTGGGGGTCACAGACATTTAGCCCATAACAGACACATTCCATCCAGATCACTGACAGTGATATCAAAAGGTATTTTGTAAAAAAGGAAAATTCTTCCTGGAAGTTAGTGACAAGAGTTTAGGAATTCCTCAGCATGTCCCTTGGCTTATCTTGATAATTAATGCTTATCATTTATTTAAATGCTTTTTTGAAGTAATTTATATTTCAGCCTGTAATTCCTTTTGAAGAAATTAAATTTATAGGTTTACTATGCACCTGTTGAGATAGTATTTCCTTTTCTTGTTCTAAGAGTTCCTTAATCTAAGCTTAAAGATATGTCTGCTAATTCCAGCTACTAGAATTTTCTATATAATTTATTTGTAATTTGCCTTGAAAACTTGGTATTTCCATCCTAATGTGATGTGTCATTTAGGGTAACTTTGGGAGTGTGGAGATGTGCCGGTATGACCCTCTACAGGACAACACTGGGGAGGTGGTGGCTGTAAAAAAGCTTCAGCATAGTACTGAAGAGCACCTGAGAGACTTTGAAAGGGAAATTGAAATCCTGAAATCCCTACAGCATGACAACATTGTAAAGTACAAGGGAGTGTGCTACAGTGCTGGTAAGCTGCCCATTGAAACCTATTTGAAATTCAAGATATGTCTTTGGCATCCTGTGTAATAGAAACGTACGGTGTCTAATGATCTGGACTTATGCCAATGCCCAGAGGGACAGGCATTAGTCTATAATGACTGGAGATTGTGTTTGGTGATTATAAACTATAACTATAGGAAGTATTTGGCTAGTTGTTTAAACATTCTTTTCACCTCTTGCTTAAGTTTACCAAGAGAGCATCATTTTTAGAGAAATGGTTTTTGCTTACATTTTCTATAAAAATATTTTTGAATTTTATGTTTTTTGTTTGATATAAATGAGGAGAAAGGAAGTTTTCTCATCAGTTTATTTTGGTTTGCCTAGAGTTATAGAAAACTGAAACGCAAGTAGTTTCAAAGCTTTTATTCAAAATTTATTTTCGTTATTTATTCAAGTTTTTGATTCAAAAAGACTATGTTCTTAACAACTATATCACCTTTAATGTATAATAAAGTTTTGTCATCTTAGATTTTATATATGTTTAAGTCATTTATGTATGATAGTTTTCTAATATTTAATCAGTATAATATGGCAGAGTAAAATATTGTTTCCACCTTTATGTTAACAGGTCGGCGTAATCTAAAATTAATTATGGAATATTTACCATATGGAAGTTTACGAGACTATCTTCAAAAACATAAAGAACGGATAGATCACAAAAAACTTCTGCAGTACACATCTCAGATATGCAAGGTACCTAATATCCTGATTATTTGCTGTAGATGAAGCAACCATATTGAAGTAAATGTTAGGAAATCATCTAGACTTTTTCATAGATAATAAAGGGAATATATAGGGTTAAGACCATTTAAATTGTTTATGTTTATAAAACTAGCTGAAAGAAACATGTTTTATCCATAGGGTATGGAGTATCTTGGTACAAAAAGGTATATCCACAGGGATCTGGCAACAAGAAATATATTGGTGGAGAATGAGAACAGAGTTAAAATTGGAGATTTTGGGTTAACCAAAGTCTTGCCACAAGACAAAGAATACTATAAAGTAAAAGAACCTGGTGAAAGTCCCATATTCTGGTGAGTATATTTCAGTATGATAAATGAAATTTTACAGCACAGACTTCAAACTTTATTGTTGTTATTTAATAGTTTGCCATTTCTGTATTTACAGTAACAGTGAACATTTAGGTCTTTTAAGTCTTACATTTAACCTTTTTGTTTTAGGTCTTATAGTCATGGTTATAGTCCACATGGGAATAATGGCATGTGCTTTATTTTTATTAAGTATTTTCTTGTTTATAGGGATTGTAGGTTTTTCTTCAAAACCGTCTCCTATTTATGGAGGCTTAGGGCTAATTATTAGTGGTGCTGTGGGTTGTGGTATGTGTTGAATTTTGGTGGGGCTTTCATGGGGTTAATAGTCTTTTTGATTTACTTGGGTGGTATAATGGTTGTTTTTGGTTATTCTCTGGTGATAGCTATTGAGGAGTATCCTGAAACATGAAGGTCAAGTACTGATATTTGAGAGGCTTTATTATTAGGATTATTAATAGAGTTGATGTTGGTTTGGTGAATAGTTGAATATGATGGGGTGGTGATCACAGTTGATTTTAATAGTGTAGGGAGTTGATTAATTTTTGAGGGGGAGGGGTTGATTCATGAGGATTTTGTAGGTGCGGCTGCCTTGTATAGTTATGGGTGTTGGTTAGTGGTGGTTGCTGGTTGATCATTGTGAGTATTTTTGTTGCAATTGAAATTACTCAGGGTAATAGATTAGATAATTAATAGTAGAGGTTAGGCCTTTTTGGGCAGATACAGTAACAGAGGCTGAAGTTTGGGTTCGTGAAATGGTTTTTGGTATAGACTTTTCTAGTCAAACTGGGTCTAGAAGTGAAGCTAGATTTTGGCTTCTGAAGGTTGAATGGTGAATTGTAGCTGAATAAAAACCTAGTATATTGGAGAAATTAAATGTCTATAATGGGTACTTTAAGGTTATTAGTTATGAAATTAAGCTCCATTGCTAGTAAAAGACCTAGGGTGGTTACACCTAGGGCTGTGAGCTTTAGGTGGAGTGGTATATCTGTTTGGGGGATGAAGTAGGAATAATACTGTTAGTGATGAGGAATCTGGTGAAGATACTGCCGATTGCTAGGTGCTTAATTGAGTTAATTAGGTGCTCTAATAGGATAACCTTGTTTTACAACTCTGATTGTTATTAATGATAATAATCCCCTAAGGTTATAAAGTAAGCACAAGTAAATACATAAAAACGTTAGGTCAAGGTGTAGCTCCTGAGGTGGCAAGAAATGGGCTACATTTTCTACCCCAGAAAATTTCATGACAACCTTTATGAAATCTAAGAGCTCAAGGAGGATTTAGCAGTAAACCAAGAGTAGAGTGCTTGGTTGAATAAGGCCATGAAGCACGCACACACCACCCGTCACCCTCCTCAAATATCATTCTAGAAATATTTAAATTCTCTACGCATGAATAGAGGAGATAAGTCATAATATGGTAAGTGTACTGGAAAGTGCACTTGGACAAACCAAAGTCTTGTTTAACCTAAAGCATCCAGCTTACACCTGGAAGATTTCATCACAACCTGATCACTTTGAGCCAACCCTAGCCCCACTAAAAATATTATTAAACCATCCTAAACCATTAACCTTAGACAAAAGTATAGGCAATAGAAATTCTTATCTTGGCACAATAGATACAGTACCGTAAGGGAAAGATGAAAGAACTGAGCCAAGCATTAAAAAGCAAAGACAAGCCCTTATACCTTCTGCATAAAGTATTAAGTAGAAATAACTTTACGCAGAGAACCACAGCCAAGTCCCCCGAAACTAAACGAGCTACACAAGAATGGCTGAAAGAGCATACTCACCTATGTGGCAAAATAGTGGGAAGATTCATGAGTAGCAGTGCTAAGCCTACCCAGCCTGGTGATAGCTGGTTGTCCAGAGAGAATCTTAGTTCAACTTTAAATTTACCCACAGAATTACTTAATCTCCCTGTAAGTTTAACTGTTAATCTAAAGAGGGACAGCTCTTTAGGTCCTAGGAATCAACCTTCCTACAGAGAGTACAAAATAATATCTCCATAGTTGGCCCAAAAGCAGCCAACAATTAAGAAAGCGTTCAAACTCAACATCCGTTATTTAATAGAAGCAATAATGTTAATATAAATAACATGAAAATATTCTCCACTGCATAAGCTTACATCAGACCGGAATAACCCACTGACAGTTAACAGCCAAATATTTTACAATAAGCACCCTATTATTTATACTGTTAATCCCACACAGGCATGCTCTAAAGAAAGATTACAATAAGTAAAAGGAACTCAGCAAATCTAACCCTGCCTGTTTACCAAAAACATCACCTCTAGCATTATCAGTATTAGAGGCACTGCTTGCCCAGTGACATATGTTTAACGGTACCTTGACCATGCAAAGGTAGCATAATCACTTGTTCCCTAAATAGGGACTTACCAAATGGCCACATGAGGGTTCAGCTATCTCTTACTTTTAATCAGTGAAATTGACCTATTGGTGAAGAGGCAGTTACAAGCAAATAAGACGAGAAGACCCCATGGAGCTTTAATTAATTAATGCAAATAAAAACTCAAAGAGCCTACAGGCCTTAACCTACTATCTCTGCATTAAAAATTTTGGTTGGGGTGACCTCATAGCATATTCAACCTCTGAACAACCTAAACTAAGACCGCACTAGTCTAAGCGAGTTAATACACATTGACCTAATAATTTGATCAACAGCACAAGTTACCCTAGGGATAACAGTGCAATCCTATTCTATCATATCGATAATAGGATGTCCTGATCCAACATTGAGGTCGTAAACCCTAATGGTGTAGCCACTATTAAAGGTTTGTTTATTCAACGATTGAAGTCCTACATGATCTATTTCAGACCAGAGTAATCCAGGTCGGTTTCTATCTATTTAACATTTCTCCTAGTATGAAAGGACAAGAGAAACAGGGCCAACTTCATAAAGCACCCTCCCCCCATAAATGATGCTATCTCAATCTAGGAAATCACCACATACCCCACCCAAGAACAGGGTTTCTTAAGATGGCAAAACCTGGCAATAGCATAAAACGTTAAACTTTACAATCAGAGGTTCAACTCCTCTTCTTAACAATATGCCTGTAATTAACCTTCTCCTATTTATTATTCCCACTCTAATCACTATAGCATTCCTCTCACTGAGTGAAAAATCTTAGGCTATATACAGTTATGCAAAGGACCTAATACTGTAGGCCCCTATGGACTGCTTCAACCATTTGCTGACCCAGTAAAACTTTTCAGTGAACCCTTACGACCCTCAGCGTTTTCTATTACGCTTTATATCATTGGCCTAAACCTGGCCCTTTCTATCGCCCTCCTCTTCTGGACTCCCCTACCTATACCCGATCCCCTAATTAATTTTAATATAGGCCTCCTATTTATTCTAGCCACATCAAGCCTAGCCGTCTATTCCAGTCTATGATCAGGATGAGCATCCAATTCAAATTACATACTAATTGGTACATTACAATGTGGCCCATACAATTTCATATGAAGTCACCCTAGCCATTATCCTGCTATCAGTACTACTAATAAGTGGCTCATTCAACTTATATGCACTCATCACAACACAAGAATTATTCTGACTGCTCCTACCATCATGACCCTTAGCCATAATATGATTTATTTCCACACAAGCAAAAACTAACCGAACCCCTTTTGATTTGACAGAGAGAGAATTAGAACTAGTTTCAGGCTTCAGTGTCGAATATGCTGCAAGTTCATTTGCCCTCTTCTTTATAGCAGAATATATGAATATTATCGTAATAAATGCCCTACTACTATTTTTCTAGGAGCACTACACACTATGTATTCACCAGAACTAGATACCATAAATTTCATTACAAGACCCTCCTTTTAATTGCCCAGTTTTTATGAATCCGAACAGCATACCTCCAATTCCGCTACAATCAACTTGTATACCTTTTATGAAAAAATTTCCAACCACTTACATTAGCATTCTGCATATGATATGTCTCAATGCCTGTCCTAATTTCCAGCATTCCACCCCAAACATAGGAAATAAGTCTGACAAAAGAATTACTTTGATAGAGTAAACAATAGAGGTTAAAATCCTCTTATTTCTAGAACTATAGGAATTGAACCCATCCCTGAGACTCCAAAATTCTCCGTGCTATGTATTAAACCATATCCTAAAGTAAGTTCAGCTAAATAAGCTATTGGGCCCATACCCCTGAAAATGTTGGTTATACCCTTCCCATACTAATTAATCCATTAGCTCAACTTATTATCTCCCTTACTGTTTTCACAGGAACCCTTATCACAATGCTAATGATTTCTTACCTGAACAGGCCTAGGAATAAATATACTAGTTCTTACCCCAATCTTGATTAAAAAAATAAATCTCCCCTCTACAGAAGCAGCCACCAAATATTTTCTTACACAAGCAACTGCATCTATAATTCTCATTATAGGTATCCATTTCAATAACCTGTCCTCCGGGCAATGGACAATAATAAACACTATTAATCAGTTTTCATCCTTAATAATAACAGCCCTAGTAATAAAACTAGGAAAAGCCCTCTTTCGCTTCTGAGTCCCAGAAGTAACCCAAGGAACTTCTCTAATGTCTGGCACACTTCTCCTCACATGACAAAAACTAGCCCCTATCTTGATTATATTTCAAATTTTCCCATCAATAAACACAACCAGTCTCCTATCTATTACAATACTATCCATTATAGTAAGTGGTTGAGGAGTTAAATCAAACACAATTCTGCAAAATCTTGGCCTACTCCTCAAGTACTCATATAGGTTGAATGACCCCAGTACTAACTTATAATCCAAACATTACCATTATAAATCTGATTTATTTACCTTATTTTAACAATTACCACATTTCTAGCACTTAGCCTAAGTATAAGCACTACAACCCTGTCACTGTCTCACACTTGAAACAAATTAACATGATTAACACCTATAGTTTCACTAATTCTACTATCCCTAGGAGGTTTACCTCCATTAACAG